TGCCCCCTCTTATGTGTGCACACGCCACGGTGCTAGCCATGGTGTGTGTGTGTGTGTGTGTGTGTGTGTGTGTGTGTGTGTGTGTGTGTATGTGTAGATCCAAGGACAACTTTCTGAAGTTGCTTTTCTCCTCCTACCGTGGGTCCCGGGGACTGAGCCACAGTTGTCAGGCTCTGCACAAGGGCCCTTATGCGTATTTTTAAGAGGGAGAGTCTCAGCATGCTGCTCAGGCTGGCTCTGGGGTTCAAGAGAGCCTCCTGCTTCAATCTCCTAGAAACTAGGATGGCAGTTATGAACCACTGTGCCGAGCTAACCTTTCCCTCTTTTGGTAGGTAAATGTAATTGAGTACTCACCAAAGTGACAAAGCTCCCCTTCCCCTCAACAGAACAAAACCTCTAATGATCGCACAGTTCCAGTTTCCAGAACTAGAGCCGAGGCTGGGCACGCAGAAGGAAAGGTTGAGGCCCAGTTGGCTCCACGGAGACAGACAGAAGCTGCCCTGTCTTTATTTATTCCTCGACTCTCGCAAACAGTCCTGTATCTGCAGGGTTGTCTTCCCACAGCCGCTGTCAGTTCTCTTACTAAACCCCCCCGTACTGACTGGTCAAAGGAGAGGTTCTCCATCAGCTCCCGCAAACAGAATGATAGAAACTGTCACAAAGGTCACCGAATCAAGCTTGGCCCTTAAGGTGTTTGCTGGATGCAAACACCAACAGGAGACACAGCAACTTCATACATGATGCCGGCACGCGAACTCAGCATTGTCTGCTCAGATAGGAACTATGAAAGCACTGTATCTAAGATGACAAACACCAGCTTTTACAATGAAGCTCTGAGTCTCTGCAGTTTGTCATTAGCTGTGGATGGTGGCTCTGAGACAAGTTACTGCCTGTAGGTGGGTGGCATTCTCAGTGTGTCAGAAACATGCCCTGCCCTCACCGCTCTTTTGGAAAAGCTGGCCTTGGCTCACGGGTAAGGAGACTAGCCATCTTGCTGCCAGTCCTACCTTCCCAATTTTGAAGAATAGCCTTTTTTAAATCTTAAAAAAAAAAAATGTATGTGTATGAGTATTTTGGCTGCAGGTATATATATGCACCATACGTATGCAGTGCCCTCTGACCGGAAGAGGTCATTGGATCCCCTGGAACTGGAGCTACTGATGGTTGTGTGGGTGCTAAGAGGAGAAAACCAGGTCCCCTGCAAGAGCAGAGCCATGTCTCCAGCACCCCCCTTAAACTCTAATACACACACTGTGTGTATGTGTGTGTGTGTGTGAGAGAGAGAGAGAGAGCGTGCATACGCGTGTTACTATGTCACAGCGAACACAGACGGCTCGAGGACAACTTTCAGGCATCATTCCTGCCTTCCACCTTGTTTCCACCAGGGTTTGCTGGTGTGTAAGCTAGCCTAGCTGGCTTGTAAGCTTACAGAAATTCTCCTGTCTCTGTCTGACATTGTGCTTACAAGGGCGCTGGGAGCGCACATACATGTTATTATATGTTATATGGGCGCTGAGGATTTGAAACTCAGGTCCTCATGCCACTTTGCCCATTGAAACATCTCTCTGGTCCTCTAGTAGCTTTTAAAACATATCTCACTTTCAAAATGTTGGTTTTCTAGAAGCCGTCTTTCACAGCTGCAATTCCACACTCTTGGAGCAGTTCCGTGTGAGCCAGTCAGGATGTGTGTTCAGCTCCTACTAAGGCCCGGGTTTTGTTGGGGAATATAAAACCACCTCCTTCTTCAGAGAGGGTAGTTCTAAGGGAGGCCCCCTGGGATGTGCACACTCTGGAAGTGTTGAGCAGACAGGCAAACAGATTTTGCCTTTGGATGATGGTCATACAAACATAAAAGCACCATGGCTCCCTTCTAAGCACGTGTGGAGTTTTTAGTACTAAATGTAGAAAATATAGTTAAGACTAGACAAAAATGATGAATGCCACCAGCACAGCTGTCACAAAACTGCATGTGAGCTAACTTCTCAGAAGAACCCTGAGAATCAGAGACCAGGGGAGGAGAGGGGAAGAGGGAGAGAGAGAGGACTCAGTTGGTAACACTTCACACAGGAATTAGCTTTAATCTCCAGAACCCACATAAAAAAGCCAGGCATGGGCTGGCAAGATGGCTCAAACAAGTAAAAGCACTCTCTGTGCAAGCTCAATGACCCGAGCTTGATCCCTGGAGCTCAGAGTGGAAGGACAGAGGTGACTTCGGAAACTGTCCACGGAACTCCACCTACACGTATCCAGAGGCATGAGCATACCCGCACACACACACTCATTAAAGATAAAAAAGACACGTGCAGTAGCACTTAGTCACAGGACTAGAGAGGTGGTGACGGGCAGATCCCTGGAGTTCTCTTCTCTGGCCAGCCAGCCTAGCCTACTGGTCAAGTCCCAGATCAGCGAGGTTCTGTCTCAAAATAAAAGGGAGACAGTACTTGAGGAACACCCAAGACTGACTTCTTGCCTCCATATATACGCATACATGTGCACACACATAAGTGTACACACACACACACACTCAAGAAAAATGAAAACCAAACCCCAAACCTAAGCACACAGGTGCGCAAGCTGCTCCTGGCTACGTGACTGCCTGAGGTTGGAGGAGGAAGCGGCAAGGGCATAGAGTCAAGGTGAGCCCAGACATGCAAAGCAGAGAGGGCCTGCCAACACAGACCTCAGAACACTATGTCCCGCTGGCACTCTTAGGTCACTGCGATGGCAGTATGGCACCTTCCGGATACAGGACTCCCATGCTGACAGAATACTGAGAAACCTATCTGGAGCAGATCTTTCTACTCTTTCCCTAGGCAATTTAAGAGGGCCTCATACTTTCCAAACCGTTTTCAGGGAAAACAAAAATAAAATAGTAAATTTCGACTTACACCTGGGAGTCCACTGTAAAGGTTTTCAATATTGGGATGCCCTGTTTAAAAAGGCAGCCTCCAGCTGGAGAGTGAGCACTCTAACATTCTATTAGCTTAGTTACTTAGACATTTAATAATAAAACAACGTATGTGGGTGGTATCTTGCCCACATGTATGCATGCGCACCATGCCATGCCTAGTGCCCTAAAAAAGCCAGAAGTGAGCCTCAGATTCCCTGGGACAGAAACTACAGATGGTTGAGAGCTGTCACATAGAATCTAACCTGTGTCCTCTGGAAGAGCAGCCAATTCTCTTAACCACAGAGCCATCTCTCCAGCCCCCTTAGTCACTTTAATCTCATTTCAAGCCTGTCTTTTGTCACCAAAGCAGCTACTAGCACCTGTCAGGCGTGGCCAACCTTTTGACATTGCCATATTTAATACTGTTAGCTACAAAGTGCATGCTTCGAGAACTACACTCTTGAGTTGTCAAATGAGCAGGGGTCGAGTAGGTGAAGGTGCTTGCTGAAGTTTGACGGTCTGAGCTTAACTCAGTTCTACACGGGTTCTACATGACGGACGGCGAGAACTGACTTTCGATTAAATTCTCCTCTATCTCCACACGTGCATACACAGAGCAAAGTATAATAATAATAATAATAATAATAATAATAATAATAATAATAATAATAAATCCCACACACGTGCACGCGCACACCCCTAGCATTTAAGTTTACAATTTTGAGATGAATCCATCTGGGATCCAAACTGCTGGTTGGGCACACCTGAATCCTAGATATAAAACAACACCAATTTCAGCTCAGTTTGTCATCACTGATTCTAAGGACAAGCTATTTAAAAAGTAAAGTCGTTGCAAGATAGCTTGTCCCTCATAAGACACCCAAGCCCTGGTCTGTTAGGAACTGCTGGGCAGGCTCTTTGAGGCCTTTTCGTCCTCATCTGGGAACAATGACCTTGGCCATATGTTAGGCCTGTCTGGTTCACGTGCTCAAGTGAGTTGCTAAGTGGGAAGACTTCTGGTCAAACATGAGTGTGTGTCACTATCATGCCACCAAGCCGGGTTTTAGCGACTCAGTCACGTGTTGGGAATGTTCCTAAGCCTATGTGTGGTGTACCGTATGAGTCCAGCAGGGAGAGAGACACAGGATAGCCCTTCTCCAGGTGACGATCTAAGGAGGTCAAAGCAGTAACTGCCCAAGCAGTCAAACCACAGCCAGGAGGAAAACTACCCTCAGGGCCTCATCTCCTTTGCTAATGTAAGAACTGGTCTACCCATAAGCCCTCATCTACGAGCATTCTCACAATAATCATGCAGAACCAAGAGCTTGCACTGGACATGAGGTCATGGGTTGGTGGGGTCACACCCACTCTTTACCATCTTGAGTTTGCTCCAGCTCTAAACCCACCATTCTGATTTCCATGAGTCTTCTGATGGAGGGTGTTACTGTGTGTGTGTGTGTGTGTGTGTGTGTGTGTGTGTGTACACGCATACAATCCAGAGGTCATGCATCTCTGGTGCTGTCCATCTTTTCTCCCCTCCCACTCCTTCTTGAGACAGTGTCCAGTTTGCTCCAGTTTGCTGAGTAGGCTAACAATCCCATGGATATACCCGCCTCTTCCTACCCAGTACCGGGTTACTGACTTTTTAATGTGGATTCTGGAGATGGATTCGATACTCATGCTTGCAGAGCAGGTATTTTACTGAGTAATTTACGCACCCAGCCCTGGACTCACTTTGAGGCAGCTCCTTACACTCCTGAGGTCTTGCCCTTCTACGGAGTAGGGAACCACAGGGGCTCAACACCCACACACCAACAAGCAACAGGAGGGTGACTGCTGAGACCTATCATCTATACCACATGCACAAAGCACAGAGATGTAGCCTGCCTGCTCCCGAGAGGGCAGTGGAGATGCTGGGACCTGGGAACCACAGGGACACTTTGTGAGTGAGCATCTTAGGCATCCCTCAGCTCGGATGTCAGCAGCAGGAATTTTACTCCATTTAACCCAGGCAGAGTTAGAAGGGAAAGACTGTAAGCTTGAACATTCATCTTGGGCCCTGCCCTCCTCTACCCATTCCTGCTGGCACATGCCCACAGGGACTCCTTACCTCTTTGTGGGAGTCTTTGTGGGCTTCCAGAGTCTTCATGATGGTCAGTTCTGCGTAGTTTTTGAATCTTGCTGGCTGGTTTCTCAGAATCTCCCGTAAAACTCTCAGAGCCAGAGCTCGAATAGAATGCTAGGTATGCAAGGAAAAGCAATGTCACCAAATAGTATGTGGCTCTTGCCCATGCCTATAGCATGCATTGACCCACAGGCTAAGCCCTTTTCTAGGTGGCCTGGCCTCTTACAGTCCTCTCTACTTGGATGGCAAAGCCTACTCAACGTGGGCTTCCTAGAACGTCAACTTAGTAAGGGCAGGGTCTGATGCATGGTGACATCTTCAGGACCCAGCACCTGGACAGGCAGGAAATGGCTTCTAGAATGAACTCTATACTGCAGATCAAATGAGGATGGCACAACTGAGTTCACGGTCAGTTCCCTAGTCTTTCTTGACTTAATGGAAGCTTGGGTTCATGAGTCATTCATCCTTCTGTGAAACATGCACAGGGACAGCAGGGACAGGACCTCCCAGGCTGGGAACTCTCTGAGGTCAGCTAGAGACCAGTGTCTGTTCCTGACCTTCTTGATGATGAGGTCACCCATGCAACAGGCCTCAAGCTGTTAAGGCCCAAGTCATGTGTCTGGAGGAAAGCCATTCCAAACAGACGCCTAATCTCAAGAAGAGAGAGCAGAGTTTACTGCAAACAGAGCCAAGAAGCACATCCTGATTCCTTGTCACTCAACTGTGCAGTGTGCAAACGCACACAGAAAGCACCTGCCCTCTGCATGACGTCACCCTGTCTCCCCCAGGGCCCAGTCGAGTGTAGCTGTCTCCATAGGCAGCACATTCCCCATCTTTCCTTACCCCTAAACCAGGCCTTTAATCCTAAGAAAACCATTCCAGGCAGCATTTACTGCTCTTCCCCTCCTCCACTCCTGGCTGCCATCAGTCACCACCACTGTGACCCTGGGTCTGGCCTATGACCTCACCCTGTCCTAGCTTTCTGGAACTCCTCCCAGCCCCATCCGCCTGCCATGTCTGTTAGGCCATGAAAGCCCAATGAGAAAAAATGCACCATTACTTAGAAAGTTTAATCTCAGCTAGCCCCTCCCACTTCTGTGTTAGGGGCCTGCTCCACAGGCAGGAGGCAAGACTGGGCCACCTTCCCCCTCTACACTCACCTCCACAATGTTAGCTACTAGGTACCAGGTATAGTCACAGCCCAGGTACGCTACAAAGCCTGGTCTGTCTCACTCAAACGTCCCAGCATGAGTGTTTTGCTTTATAACTATCAAGACACCTTGGGAACCTGTCATCTGCCCTGCTAACATTAGCTCTAACAGGCACATGGTGAGCCAAGATGAAATGTCATGAAATGCAGCACTTTAAATAAGGGCTCTTGACAAATAAAATCTGGGCAGGTAAGATGGCTCAGTGACTTGAGTTTCACCCCCCAAATTCACACCGAGGCAGGAAAAAAGTTGGCCTCTGACGCACACATGTGCTGTGTGTGTCCACATTAGTTAGGTAAGACAAAACAACCCCCCCCACCACCACCACCATCAAGGCAGGGTTTCACTGTGTAGCCCTGATTGTACTAGAACTCTCTCTGTAGACTGGGCTGGCTTTGAACTCACAGAGATCACCTGCGTCTACCTCCTGAGTGCTGGGATTAAAGGCATGTGCCATCGCCACCTGGCAAATTAGTTTAAAAAAAAATTAAAAATAAAGTCTATTTCTTTATTTTACATGAACTCAAAGTGAAACCCATACAAGAATGAAGGCTGGAAGGCTACGATCTATACTAATGGGGTCTGGGCAACATCTGTGCTAAAGTGTCTAGGTTGGGAAAGGCGTTTGACTGGTTGGGTGTACACGCAGGTACAGGGGGACTTGGGTCTGCACAGGGAGCTCATGTGGCTATGTGGTAACTGCATGGACACTTGATTTGGTGTAAGCCAGGCATGAAACCCAAAGGAAAGCTAGTCAGCCCTGATCAGGAACGGCACCATGTTGAAGGCGCCATGGAAATGCCTACATCTTTGTCCCCTAGAGTTTCCAGCAGCAGCAGCAGGATGGTCTTGAAGTGCTCCTCCCACACGCCCAGGCTGTCCTCCCTGGTGATCTTGAGCAGCTCCAGTAGTGCGCCCTTCCGCTCCTCCACACGCTCATTGTGGTTAGAGAGCTCCTTCAGCAAGTCAGCCACCAGGTCCGAGTGGTCAATGGGCACTGGGGAGGCAAACAGGGAACCTCAGGAGGGGGTGGCCATCTGTTCCCGCCATGTTCTTTCCTACCGTGACTCTCACTGATAGATGCTACGCTCTCCCTCTTACTCTGCCCTCCCATTCTCTAACTGACTAACATCTGTCCCAATTCCAACTGCAAACATCCCTGAAGACCTTCTCACTATCACACTGACTAGGATCTTCCATTCTTGGATGTGCAAAGGCAGTAACTGATGCCAACCCAACCAGACTATCCAAAGACTGGAAAGCCTGTCCACCTCCACTAGCATGCTTACCAGGAGGGGTCTGAACCTCTTCCAATGGCTCAAAAGCACCTCTGTCCCTGGCCATACTCACTGAAAAGCCCTCGACTCTGAAAACTCAACTTTGAACAGTGGGCATGGGGAGCCAACTGTGCAGCTGAGTCACCACAAGCACTCTCCTGAGGCATATTTGCCAATTTCTTTAGCTTCTGAGATTGGGGGCAAGCACATAAGGAAGTTTAAAACACTAAGCCCTGGCCCGCCATCCCGCCTTTCTCCATATGCTCTTCAGTACCCTGGGGGTGGGTAAGAAGCGACTGACACGCTCATCTCTGGTCAAGAGCAATAAAGGAGAAAGGGTGAAGCGATTCCACAAGCAAAGGAAAAAACCACCCACTTCTGCGAAAGCATGGGTCACGCAAACACTGGCCAGCCCAGGCTTACAGCCAGGGGACCAGCACTTGCAAATCCAGGGGAACGACAGTTCTGGGATTGTTTTTTGACCCTTAATGCTTCTGGGTCTCCCTGGACACCCTGGAGAACTGTCTTCTACCTCAGTATGGCAAAGTACGGGGACCTCTATGCCTTCTGCGTCTTGAACCTGCCCCCTGTCCTATGTCACAGCCCCCTCCAAAGTTGTGCTCATCCTGAGTCTGCAACCCAACAGGCCGGAACAATCATGCCAGGAAGTGTGCCTTGCTTTCCTTCTGGGCAGGGCAACCTAAGTACTTCATGATTCCAGATGCCATTCAAGCAGGTGTTGCTTATTTATAATTTTCATTTACATAATTCTCCATCCAAACAAAAAAGTCAGAGGAAGTTGCAATAGAACAAAGCTAGTGGATATGAGCGAGGTGGGAAAAGGAAAGCTTAAAGTTGCTGGCACAAAGACCAATATATAGTCACTCATTGGTCCCTTGCTAGTGGACACCAGCCTTGGATTTTCCTGTGGCTCTGTAGATTGAATCCATGGTCTCACGTGTGCTAAGCACAACTCAATCCCTGAGCCACTTTCTCTATCCCTGGACACTGGTCTTGACGTGGGACTCAGAAGAAATCCTGGATACATCCCTATGGTATATTTTGGGCAGGTTATCTTAATCTTTCTGCATCTGTTTGTTAACCTGCAAAGTGAGAACAGCTGTCTCTAATCTCAGGAGCTAATGGGAAGATGCTTCTTGGCAAAGTGCCAAGCACAGCCGGGGAAGACCCTGGGTGCGGCACCACTGAAGGAAGGAGGAAGCCTCCTGCGTGGCTTTGGGACCTCATCGTTATGACTAAGAGAGCTGGGACAGTGTGGGCCAAGGTCTTCACAGAGATCAAGCATGAGACGCCTGTGCCCTGTTGCATACCCTGGCCAACCACCCCCCTCAGGAAGCATTCTAGGAAAGCCCCAGTGGCAGAGCCTCCAATGGACAGACTACAGGCTCCGCAGAGTGCAAGCCCAAATAGGCTTCTACTCCCAGGCGACCTCCCGGGCACAAGCACATAGCAGGGACTCAATAAGCAGCTCTGAGCAAATGACGGACCAGGACAGACCCCGTGTTTCTATTTGTGTTTGACAGGGCCCACAGGGCTGGGATGATAGAGGGAGGTGTGTAGGAGACATAGAAGGGTGGGCAAGCAGACAGACCATCTCGGAGCTGCTCCATGTCATCGTCAAACACCGCCTCCTTCAGAGCTGTCTTGTCATAGGTGTTGATGGTGTCCGAGTAGGGATATGGGTTATATTCCCGTGCTCGTGGCCCCGGGAAGGCACGTGGAGGTTGTGTGTTGAGCAGGGAGGTCTTGTTGTCCAAAGCCATCCTGCCTCCTTCCACCTCTCCACCGCCCCGGCCCTCAGTGGCAGGTGAGGCTGCTCCCCCATCTCGGGACACCTGGAACACAGCACACAGTCACTCTGGGACGCCCCGGCACACCTGTCCATTTGTTAGTTTTCCATCACTCCTTCCTCTCTCTTCTCTCCCTCCATCTCTCTCTTTCACAGGGTCTCACTATGTGAAACTGAAACTCAGAGGTCCACATAGCTAGCTGTCACCGGTGCTAGGATTAAAAGGCATGTGCCACCACACCGAGTCCATGCTTTCTCGTTGATGCTAAGGAATTTCTTAGAGGGACCAGGGATTTCCATTTGCAAGCTGGCTACTGACAAAAAGAACAGCTATTGATATTGATTTTATTTAAATTTTTTTTTTAAAAAGTGTGTGTGTGTGTGTGTGTGTGTGTGTGTGTTCAGAATGTGTCCTTGGAGTTACAGCTAGCTGTGAGCTGCCTGGTACAGCAAGTGAAAGAACATGCTCTTAAGCATGGAGCCATCTGTCCAGCTCCATGCTACTGGTATTTCTATCTGAATAGAACATTCCCACATCTGCTTATGTATTTCTTTGTGTTTTGGTGATTCACTCATGAGTTTTCTTATGGATCACTACCAAGAAGCCTGAAGAGTCCTTCACTGTCCATTCTTGAGAAGCCTGCTTCAGACCACTGACCTCTGTCTCGGTTGCCAACAGTAGGGGCTTCTCAATGATACCTTAATGAGACCTCTGTGGAGAAAGCTCAATCACCGCTCAGAATCTAAAGCAGTCTAAATAGCTACAAACCAGCCCCTTGATTTGTAGATATTTTGAGATAATAATGAGGGTTAGCCAGATTATCTCAAAACTACCTCTAACACCTTGAGATACAAGAAATATCCCCCAGGCCACAAATCACTCCTCCATTCTTTGGATACCTAGTACTGAACTTTCTTCTCCTTTGTTTGTCTTAACAGTTGTCTTTCAATGGTCTCTGGCATGTTTTTGATACTCTTGCTCTGATGGCTACCTAGTTTTATGTCGACTTGACACAATCTAGAGTCATTTGGGAAAAGGGAACCTCAGCTGGAAAAAAAAAAAAATACCCTTAGGAGACTGGCCTGTGGGAAGGTCTGCGGTATATTTTCTTAATCAATAATTAATGTGGGAGGGCATGAGGAACAAGTCAGTAAGCAGCACTCTCCTGTGGACTCTGCATTAGCACCTGCCTATCTTCCCTCAGGGGTGGACTATGACATGGAATTGCAAACCTTTTCCTCCTCAAGCTGTGTCGGCTCATGGTGTTCTGTCACAGTGACAGAAATGGAACCAAGACCCGGTATCTGGCCTTTACCTTGGCCAATTAGCTGCTTCAGCCCCTACATGACGGTACTATGAGGACAAGTCTGGGCTAAGTGCTGGCAACAGGCAGCCTATTTCCTCACCTGGACATGATTTCCAGGAATCTGGAGCATACTGGTGACTCCCACAAAATTGTATTTGTGCTGCCAACAAGACACAACTCTCACTCTGTGTTTATGTGTTTTTAAAAGTTGTGTAAATACTCATACCCTGTCATTTCAACCATCCATACCTGCATGGTTCAGTGACATGGGATACATTCACTATTTTGTGTAACCATCAACACCATGCACACCCCAAACTTTCTCATCCCCCCCAAAACCCTACAGTACCTGATAAATAACAATTCTCCTGCCCCCACAAACCTTGATTCTATTCTCTACTAATGTGTCATGCTAGGCATCTCAGGTAAAGGAGATGAGAGGATACTAGCCCCTTTGCAGCTGGCTGATTTCACTTGCAGTATGCATTTTAAGTTCGTCTAGGTTCTAGCACAGGCCAGCTTTCTCCCTTTGGAAGGCTGCCTGTCACATTTAACCCTTGCACCTGTTGACCCACACTGGGACTGTGTTCGCCTTGGCTACCATGACCAAAGCTACTGTAAATGCTAGTCTACAGGTACCTGTCTGAACCCACACTTGCAACTTTCTGTGCATATCCCTCATGAAGATCTGGAATGCCATTTATCAGTGACACCTACAAGTAAGACTCTATAGTACAGTTAAGGTACAGAGAATAAAAAATAATATAGGCATAGACTTGTACAAAATTCAGGCCCACAAGGTATAGTATCTCAATAGCAGCTTTCGAGTAGAAGGTAATGCATGGGTGAGTTTGTAACTCTCTTATAATTAATGTGTGTGTGTGTGTGTGTGTGTGTGTGTGTGTGCACCATACACAAATATGGGGGGTCAGAGGACAACCTTATGGGCTCAGTTCTCTTTCCACCTTTGTGTTTCAAGGACTGAACTGAGCAGCAAGTGTTTTTTACCCTCTGAGTCACGTTTTCAGCAGCCCTCCAACTTTACTTTTCTTGTGTACATATTATTTCTTTTCTGTCCTTCTCTACCTGCAGATTTTGCAAAGATTGGATTTCATGTACATATACAATTGACATTTTGTTTTCCTCATGGCATAAGCAATTCACGTGTAGATAAACTTTTGTGGTTATGATGTGCAATCACACTACTAATAAAATTCACTCAATTACTCTTTTTCAAAAGGTTGTAGATTAGTACTGAAATGTGATGCTTTGTGCTGTTCTTTTCTTTTGCTGAGCTCTTTACTCAGAATAAATTACTGGTAAAGTCGGCGATCACGTGTGTCCAGATAATCCCATAGTCTCACAGAGTACCTGCGTCTCACTACAGCATTATGATCTCCCTTACATTCAGTGCTACCATGTCGACTGAAAGCAGACTGGAACCTGGATACCCGGTCCTTGTACCTCTGTCACTGTTCAGGAAGGACTTTCCCAACATTTTTAACGTTGTCATTTCTTGTGTGAACCATCACCCACCAGCTCTGATTTGTGTCCACGCACGGCCTTGGCGAATTAGGCCTACTGGTGCAGATACACTGGCTCTGACTTTCACTCAGCGTCTTAGCTGAAAATGTGTCCGCACTGGTTAATTTTTGACAACTTGACACCAATTAGCATCGCATGGAAGAAGTGATGGGAACAGTTTAGGCCGGCTTCCGTTAGACTGGCCTGTGCGTGTGTCTGTAGGGCATCTTCTTAACTTAATGACTGTTGAGGAGGGCCCAGCCCACTGTGGGCAGGGCCACTCCTGAGTAGGTCTTGGGTCGTATAAGAAATCCATAGGGAGAAGCCAGTAAACAGTGTCCTCTGTGGTCCCTGCTCTGGTTTTTGCTTCCAGTTTCTTGCCTTGGTTTCCCGCAATGACCGACTCTAAGTTGAAGATGAAACAAACCGTTTCTTCCCCGTTCTAATTAGGGTTTTTGGTTGCTGTGAGAAAGCACCATGACAAAAACAACTTTGGGGAGGGAAGGATTTATTTCAGCTTACAACTCTGAGGCCACACTCCATCACCAAACGAAGACAGGGTAGGGGCTCAGCGCAGAAGCATGAACACAGGAACTAAAGCAGAGGCCACAAGGAATACTGCTTACTGACTGTCTCCCCATGGCTTGCTTGGCCTGCTTTCTTATAGCACCCAGGGCCACCAGTCCAGAGGTGGCCCTGCCCATACTGAGTGGGCCCTCCTACATCAATCACCAGGAAGGAAAATAGTCTGCGCACATTTAGACTACAGGGTTTTTAATGCATATTCTAGTGCATATCTGATTGACTCCACTGAGGAAGAGCCCGGGCATATGAAGGGCTGAATGCATTTCAGGGAGGGCCTGTGTATGATGGACGACATGGCCAGAGGACGAGCAGAACAGGAGGAAATATCGGGGTAGAGCTGTGTGTGTGTGGTCCATAGCAGAGCATCTGCTTAGCGTCTTGGGGCTCTGAGTTCAATTTCCAGGACCATATGTGCACATACAGATCAAAAGCCAACGTCTTAACCACCAATGGCATGATAGCCCTGACCACCAAAGGCCCTGTGGCCCTGACACCTGTCCCCTTCATTTCACAGGGCCTTCAGAAATGTGAGGTTTCTTGGGCTTTACCATCTTTTATTTCTCTTGTCAATTTTTATTCCTTTCAACTCTCATCGGGGCTTTTTTGTACTTTGAAAACGTAGAAAACACTGAAATGACCCCAAACAGAACACTGCGAGTCCACACATGGCACATCCGCTTGGTGGTGTCATGGGAGTTCACATGGAACAGGGAAAGCATCTTGTCTGCCCTGAAGCTCCCTCCATCCCTGGTGCCACAGGACCTCGGCTTCTTTCCCATGCTCCCATTGTGCTGAGCTGGGGCTGCTCCCCAGGGCTCTGTCATCGCCGAGTGCCTCAGCACTAAATCCTTCACTTTCTTTTCGTATCAGACTCACTCTTCAGCGCCTCCCAAGTCTCTGCTCTGGCCTCAGGCACTGACCTAAACTCCCAGCACACTGATTTTCTAAGTTTGTTTAGTTGATCCATGAGCCCTGCAATCCACACATACGCACAGCTAGATTCACGGTGCTCTCAATAGCTCACTGTTTTCTCTTTCTCAGACATTACCACCTCATCAGATCATGTCATCTGTCTCAAGAGCCCCGGAGACTTCTGGCCCCTGTTAACACCTTTTCCCCTAGAACGGTGGTTCTCAACCTTCCTAATGCTGCAACCTTTTAATGCAGTTTCTCACATTGTGGTGATACCCCCAACCATAAAATTATTTTGTTGCTACTTCATAACTGTAATTTTGCTGTCATGAACCATAATGCAAATCTCTGTGTTTTCTAATGGTCTTGGGTCACCCCTGTGGAAGGGTCATTCAACCCCCAAAGAGGCTCCAATCCACAGGTTGAGAACACTGCTCTAGCATCTCTGGTTCCCTGGAGCTGGCCTTTCAGACACTCGGATACATTCTACCATGCCAAGATTTTTTTTAGCTTTTGGTTATTTGAGACAGGGGTTCTCTGTGTAGCTCTGGCTGTTCTGGAAGTCGCTCTGTAGAGCAGCCTGCCTCTGCTGCCTGAGTTTTGGTGTGGTTCTGGGGACTGAAGTCAGGCTCTCATGCACGTGAGGCAAGTCCTTTACTGACTGAGCATCGCTCCAGCCCCAGACTCACCAGAGAAGCAAGAACACGTCCAAGACAGATGGTAAGAAGCCGAGGCTCACTCTTCTGAAGTGTCTTAAAACTGCCTTAGGCTGCCCAAAAGTCTATTATTTTAACACCAGAATAGAGACCGCTGTCACCCGGGACTGAGCTCGGTGTGGGATAGATTCAGTCCACTGCCACCTAACTGACATAGCTGTGCCCTGGCCCAGGGTACTCACAAGATCACAATCTTTCTTGCCATCTCGCTTAATTGGCTCATTCAGGTCCTCTTGGCTTCGGAAGCTGAACTTTTCGATGGCTTCTGTAACTCCACGAAAAGAGCTGTAGATTTCTTCAGAGTTCAAGTTCTCTGTATCATAGTCCAGCATGCTATAATTTAAAAGAAAGGAAAGGCATTTTTTGAAAAACTGAGGTATATGCATAAGACCAAGGCATGGGCCTAAATGATTTAGTAATTTAGAGTAAGACTAGTTAAATTTGGGGTCTTCTGGTTAGTTGGGGTACGAAGGGGACATTTCTTGTCTGCCACTGTCCATCTTCCACTCAAAGCCGGCCCCAGACAAGTTACACAGCACCCAGGGACCAGTCAGAGACAACAAACCACAAGAACGTGAGAACTCAGGAGTGATATCGGTGACGGAATGTACAAGGTAATGAAGGTGGAAAAGGAACTTTCTTATCTTGGAGATGAAAAAAGAGGTAGTTTGGTTGTTACTGGTCTCAAATGTACAAACTCTGGAGGAACAGGCACATGGAAATAAGCTTGGCTTACAGAGAGACTTCTGGGGAGCAAAGCAAATCACTTCACAGGACCGGGCTGTGCACACCAGAATCCAATCCAGAGAAACAAGTCAGACCCTCCCTCAAAAAATCCAAGCCTGGGAGGCAGAGTCAGAGCTACCCTCACCGGGCTCCTGGGGCTCTACCTCCTGGGTGAACCACCTTCCTGGATGAACACGTAAAACACTTCTAGAAACAACACTTGTCCTTTATGGGAGAGTGAGGCCAATTGCTACCCTTTGAGACACTAATAACAATACAACATGAAGCAGAAATGGTTTTAAAAAAGAAAAAGGCAAGGGAGCCTTTTGCCGTTTGTCAGCAAGTGTTCTTTAGACGCGTGCAAAGGATACTGAACAAAGAAGACCATGGGAAAAAAAAATCCACACCTCCCCCCACTGAGAATTAAAAAACAAAACAAAACAACCACCCCCAAACCAAATACCAAGAAGCACAGGATGGGTAGACAACAGCGAAAGCAAAGCATGGTGGGAAAATCACTAAGGACACTTTAAACACTGCTTCCTTTAAGAGAGCATCTGGAGTGGCTTAAATGGCACTGTATCCCAGAGGCTCTGGTAATCGAATTAACTCATCCACAGTGGGTGGCATTATTTGGGGTGTGGGTGTTAGGAGGTGTGGCCTTGCTGGAGGAGCCACATCACTGGCTATGGGCTTTGAGAATGAAAAGCCGTGCCCACCTTCCAGTTTGCTCTCTCTGCATCATGCTTGCTTTTGAAGAGGTGAGTTCTCCATTTCCGGTTCCTGCCACCACCCCTGCCCTGCCCACTGCCATGCCTCCCTGCCATGATGGACCCTTGTCCCTCTGGAACTGTGTTGTGATGTGGAGAATGTGGGAGACTTTGGGACTTTGAGAGGTGACTGATTGCTCTACGAGTCATCTAGCAGGAGCCCGGAAGACAGGAAGGAGCCCCAAGAGCAGTGTAGATGGGCAGCAGCTCAGCTCAACAGGCTTCGGAGGGGAACAGCATTCGGAGCTGGGCCAGGGAATGCTCTTGTGACATTTTGGGAAAGAACCTGGCTGCCCTTGTCCCAAGAACCTGCCAGAGGCTAACCTGAAAAGCAATGGACTAATTTCTCTGGTGGAGAACATTTCAAGACAGGATAACACTGAATCAGTGGCATGGCTGTTACTGATAACACACACGCAGGCTGCAAGGAAGAAGTGGGACAGAGAGAAATAGAAACGGAGCTAGGAAGCACCATGCTCTCTCTCTCCACTAGTCAAGACCTGTGCTACAAGAGGGGCTGCAGCCGATGAGGAGGGGCCCCGTGCTCTGCACAGAAACAAAAGGAAGGATGCCTCAGTCAAGACCTCATCCAGCTAAGCTTCGAATGCAAGTGCCGCTATGCTGAACCAGGTAAGGGTGTGTGTCCCTGTGGTACTGGCCTTAGAGGCACGAAGGCATGTAAGAGGGAAAGGGTCAGGGTCGTAGAGCCTTCAGTCGCAGACAGTCACTGAGGACAATGTGTGGTGAGGCAATACCTACGTGGCCGCTCCGGGAGGGCAAGAGGCTACGAGATGCCACCTCCGAGAAGCTGTGAGCGTGAAGTCAGTTAACAGTGGAAGAGGGACGGCAAGATGTCAGAGATGCCAGTCATGAGGCATCTGCCACGTAGAACCAGCCCAAGGAAGACATCTCCATCACAGAGAGCAAAGCTGCAGGGGCAGAGCCATCTGAGCCCTTTGAAATGGAAACCCCAGACATGGACATGGAACTAGACAGCACTCGCTCCGATGGGTTCGGTCTTGTTTCGGTTCAGCAGTTCTTGACCGTGCCGCCATTCCTTCCTTTTGGAATGCTAGTGTCTATTCTGTGCCATTATATATTGGAAATACGTAACCTGGCTTGGTTTCACAGGGGGTTATAGTTGCCTGGAATCGCTGGAGACTTTGGGCTTTTAGACTACGAAAGACTATGAGAACTTTTGAAGTTGGGCTAAATGCCTTTTGTATCGTCGTATGGCTACGAGGGGTGAGGGAGTAGAATGCAGTAGTTGATGGGAGCGCTCGGCTTCCTGCTGCCATGCATCCCCTGCCATGACTCCTTGGAAACCATAAGCCCAAATGAACTTCTTCCTCTAAGTTCCTTGGTCAAGACATTTTATTACAGCAATAGAAAAGCAACTAACACTGTATGCAAGAAGAGATGAGATGCTGTAAGCTAACTTCACGTATACAAAGTCCTGAGCTAGCTGAGGAGCTGGTGCACTGGGAAATCCTTGGCTGTACAGAAATAAGCAAATGGCATTGTTAGTTCTTCCACAAAATGAGAACTGAGGTACAAGGTGTCCACTGGTGAGACCTGTTCCTAATGGCAACACACATAGCACAAGAAGTAAATTTCCTTTAAGGTAAACACAATCAGAACTGCTTAAGCCCCTTCCCCAGTGAGTGTCATGGGACTGGCTAGATCTCTGCCTGCTAGAGGGTGCAATGACTCAAGTATTTTCTAATGCTGCCTACAGCAACGGCCCCGAGCTTGCTCTCATGGGTGGAAGCTACCGGCCTCGCACTGCAACACTGGTCCAGAAAGGAATCCTTTGCTGATAAATGGAAGAAAGCACATATCATCTGTATTAGGAGGGTTCAGACAACACATGCCAACTCAGTGGCCTTGGCACCCAGTGAGAAGAACCATGAACTCTGAACACATCTGCAGCTGAAACCCAATGTGTGCACCCATGAGAGGTTAATTTAAAACTAAACCGAGCAGAGCTCAAGGGTTCTAAGCACTCTCAGTTCACAGGCTGTCCCCAAGGTGACTCTCCAGAAGTGTTAAAAGTATGACCGGAGAGGATATTCTATGTCCCTTTCCTAGGCACTCTGCAACACCAGCTTATATTCAGAAGTGTTTATACATCTGACCAGTACACTATTTTTATACAGAAAGACTGAGTATTATGGCTCAAATAAAATATATATACAAGATGTAAAAGAATGCCTTAAATACTTTTAATCACAACAACCAAAGATAATAGCATAGCCCATGCAAAAGGAAAAAAAAAAAAAAAAAATCAAAGAATTGAAAGAGTGATGGATGAACGAGAGGTGGTCTGGAGGAACGTTCAATCTTTTAAGGGATGTCACAATATTATTTTCCATGTGTTGCTTCAAAGAACGTTTGCTTTCAGATAATTCACCCCATGATTTTAAACCCAAACTCCCTTAAAACATTTCATTTCAGTTCAAATGACTGCACAATTGCCTCTTTTGAAGATAAGAAAATAAAGGCTCTGCCAACTGTTGTTTATTCTCTCTTCTCACTTTCCAGGAACGAACCAACTCCAGCTGCCAACTTGGGAGCAGTGTGTGTGGCGTGTCCATGCCCACTGAGGCCATTCCCGAGGTGTCCGTGTCCAAATGCCCCTCGGAATGAATCTGATATCATGAGCTCTGGGTGTGAGAGACAAGTGCTTTCTAGTGATGATGGCCAACATTTCCTTTTCTTGCTTCTTCTATGATGTTTATAGCTCTACAGATTAGTCTTTAAGCATTCACTTCTTGCAGAAAAAAAAAAAAAATTCCCAGGAAGGCTGTCATCATGAAGTGGGTTGGACAAACAACATTAAACCCATTTTAAAAAGACTTTGTGTGTGTGTGTGTGTGTGTGTGTGTGTGTGTGTGTGTGTGTGTATGTGCACGTGTGTGTGCATGCTTGCATAGGTACTCAGAGAGGCCAGAAGCTGTCAACTCCCGAGAGCCAAAGCTGCAGCCATGTGTGAGCCACTGAAGTAGGCACTAGGATTCAAACTGATAGAGCTGCCAATCATGAGACCTGAGGAACGACAGACACATGGGGACCAGGGGGATGGCCCAGAAGCAGACCGAACAGGCTGATGACGTGACCCTGCCTGTGACACACAATGTCCCGTTTTAGCCTGAAGACAGTCCCAGGACATAATCTTTTGGATTAAAGGCCAGGCCTTGATCACCTGTAAACATTCTGAATAGGCGGGGAGGGTGTCCTTAGGAGACGAGATTAGGAGGAGTAACTCAGTCAACAGCCTGAGGTCCTGTCACCCCACACTACTGCAGCCAGAGGACCCAGTGGAGAACCAGGTGGTGGGGAGAAGAGACACCAAGAGGAAACCACATAGATCGAGGACACCTTCTCTTTGTGCCGCTCTGTTCTGTTGTTTTGGGAGATGAATACCGTACAAAGAGAAATGGTTCTCTGCTAGTCTCCTAAATCCATCTGCACTCAGCTTGCTCTCTCCAGAAGTTCTCCTTATGTCTTTCCCCCACCCTCAGTGCTGGACACTGAACCCAGGGCTTTGTGCGTGACAGGGAAGCGCCCTGCCACTGAGCCACACTCCAGAGTCTACGTGTCTATTAAGTGAGTTACTGTGTGCTCACGGGAAAGATGATTCTGGAGAGGGGTGTCCCGTGGATGGTGCTATTGATGAGTGGCTGGATTGAGGCTCAATGTGTGGAAGGGCGTGCTGGCCAGCACACCGAGGGACAGTCGGTGAAACACACCTACACTGGGTGACGAGGCTACTCTCAAAAAATGGTGACAAGTGCAGTCATCACTAAAACAGTGGGTACGGGTCTGTGCATCAGTGGTCACGGGAGCCCATGGCTGCTGCCACCTTGCTTTCCAGGTTTACTTTTTCAGTTCGTAATTTATTACCGTGTATGTGTGTGTGTGTGTGTGTGTGTGTGTGTGCGTGCGTGCGCGTGCACGCTAGCACCATGATATATGTGTGGAAGTCAGAGGACAATTCTGTGGAGTTGGTTTCACCTTCCACCTTTCTGTGGGTTTCAGGGACTGAACCCACATGGTCAGGCATGGGCAGGTCATCTCACAGACCCTCTGGATTTCTTTCTTTTGTTAAAAAACAAAACTCGTATCTGTTTACAAGGTTGGGTACACCTGCCTGTAACAGAGCACAGTGACAGCTGGGCCTCCTGTTTTCTGCCCATGCGATGACAGGCTTCTAGGACAGGCACGCTCTTAGCTTTGGACCTTTATGACAGCGTCCAGGAGACCTGACACAGGAGTCTGGAGGGATACACAGGACTTTCTTGGGATCACTAACATAACGGTTTTAAAACCTGACAGAAGCCATGTCATTCTGGACTTGTAACACAGTCACTCAGCCAGTGCCAGGCAGCCTCACTTCCCACCAGATGCCAATGCTTGCTATACTAATGTCCTGTCTGAAAGCAGGGCATCCTTCCCAAGCAATGCATTTATTTGTTTGCCAGTACTGGAGACTGAACCCAGGATCTCACGCATGCTAGGTAGGAGCTCTACCATGAAACCATAGTGTTAGCCCTCGGTAGGGCATCTTTAGGGAGATGGGCAATGCAGGCCCTGATCCTGGTGGTTTTGGTCAACTTGACTTAAGCTGTAGTTATCTGAGAAGAGGGACTGAGAAAATGCTTTATCACACAGCTTGTAGGTAACTTAGTGATCCGCGTGCGAGGTCCCTCATTATGGGCAGTGCCATGTCCTGGGCAGGTGGTACCCTGAGTGGTATAAGAAGGCAGTCTGAGCAAGCCGTGAGAACAAGCCAGTAGGCAGCATCCCTCCATGGCTTCTGCTTCAGTCCCTGCCTGGAACCCCTGCCCTGATTTCTCTGGAAGATGGCCTACAAGCTGTAAGGTGAAATAAAGCTAGTCCTCCCCAAGCTGCTTCTGGTCACGGTGCTTATCACAGCAGTAAAAAGCCAACTAAGACACCAGCTGTTAGGGCATCCTGTGTGGTTGCTGTAAAACAGTATATAAGAAAGTAGTCAGCCTGGGCCATTTGCGGCAGGGACAGCGACTCGCGAAAAGCACAGGTCTCACCCGATCCTTAGTAGACCTCTTCTGCACCTGATTATCATATTAAGGGAACTGTGCCTGCCACTGCTACCTGGATATCAGGATGTACCTGAATGACACGCTGGGACAAACAGCCCATGAGGGTAAATGGTGACAAGTCTGGCTGGGTGGTTAAAGCAGTTACTGTCCTTAGACAGAGCAGCAGCCTGGCTCTGAGCCTGCTCCTGTTCGCGCAGCTCACCCGGGCTCCATTCCTGCAGGGCTAATTTAAATGCAAGCAGGAATCACACCAGAGGAGCTCAGAGGCTTGCCAAAAGACCCAGGGCAACCTTGGAAACACCATAATATTGTGACATTTTGAACAAATTTAACAGGTAGCATGTTACCTGGGAGAGTAAGAGCGCCTGAGAGTCTTGTGGGAGGGAGCGGTGGGAATGGAGTTAGGCTGAGAAAAGGGAGGTTGGGGCTTCGATAGCCCATCGGCACTCCAACCCCACAACCGACTGCAGTGATCAGAAGAGGAAAATCAGAGAGAGAAACATCGAAGCAAAGGGGAGGGGAGGAGGAAGGTACTCCACCGGGGTCCCATCAAATTAGCTGGAGCAAAACTTGGGCCTCGATACACAGGGGAAAAGAACCAATTCATTTTACACTTTGCTCCTCACTAAGACTGCTTTTATTCTTTCCTTTCCCAACCACGGGCTAAAGCTGACTTCATGAAGAGTCAACTAAGATCCCAAGCTTAGGGTACATACCTGTGAGAGGGCACACCGGCCTGCCTGGGCTGGGCGTGCACTGGAAGCACTCAGCAGGAAAACTAAGGGTGCTGAGGTTAACACCCTAGTGGTTATTTCAGGAAGCACCAGAGGTGGCGCTCTCAAGACTTGATTCAAGTGAGACGGAAGCAAGGAGGGGCTCCATGCCCACACTATTGGGACTCAGCACCTGAGAGAGTGTGCTCCTGAGCTGGGGACCTGGGGGAGTCCAGCGGACGGAGTGCCACTGGACGGTGAGCACATGGGGGCAGTGAGTCTCAACTGGCCAGCTCAGAGGAGGAAATAGAATAAAGAAATGAAATGGTGTTCCTCTGCTTCTATACCACCCAAAGGAAACGAAAATACACCTGGCATCTATTTGCTCGCCACAGTGTCGCTATCTGGTGGCCTGGGTTTGCGGAGGTCCCCAGGCAAAGTTCTAACTTCTGCTACAGGGCAGACCCCACAGCATCTGCCTGCTGTGGCACAGTTTGTACATGTGTGTATGTACGGAGGTCAGGGGGCGCCAACACTCAAGGGCCTTCTACGTTTTGTATGAGACAAGGCCTCTTCCTAGCCTGGAACTTCACCAGGCAGGCTAACTAGGCTAGCTTGCACATACATTCTGGGAAGTTGTCTTCATTTCTCATCACGTTATTGCTGGGAATACACGGATGTACCACTGTGCCTGGCCTTTTAAAAAAAATAAATAGTTAAAACATAGGTTCTGAACTCAAGTCCTCAGGCTTGCAAGGCACATGGTTTACTAACTGAGCCATCAACTTTAGGTCCCACCAACACGGTATCCCTTAGTGTCAGCTCTGAGCAGGGTCATAGAACCCGTTTTGTAGGGAAAATACAGCTTGGAGATGAGAGGTCATTGCAGTGCAGGTCTAAAGCCCTTCTTCAAGCCACGCTCTGGGCTAGGGGTAAGGGCACAAAGGGAATGGAGGTGACACTCAGGCCTGACTCCCTGTGTGGGCCCGGGCTTGCTGTGAACCCTTGCCAGGGTCTGTAGGTGCTACTTCAGTCTGACAGGAGAAACTCAAGGGCCGTCAGCAGGGTAGCCTTGCCAGGGCACCCAGAGGTGACCATGCGGTTCCTTTCTGTTCTAGGACACCTCATCAGGAGCACCCGCCAGGTTGGTGCAGGACCCTGGACACTTGGAACTGCAACTTCCCTACCACAAAATCACAATGGGTAAAATGAGCTAAAATATAAGTATTTGTCAGATGATAAAATAGGTCCTAAATCTGCTCAAATATCGTGTCATGCGGGTTCAGTAGTTGGGAATGGCTGGCAACCAACCCACTCTCACAACTAATTAGTAGTGAGATGTTTACAAAGCGTTGGCCTGCTGGTATCTCCGACACCACTGGTAGATGAAAACAACTTCCTCCCTGGACAAATCTGAAGCTACCATATTACAGCTGTCACCACTTTTGAACCGTCCCTTGTTATCACCATGATCAAATCACAGAACATTTTTTTTTTTTTCAAGACTTGGAGCCTGTCCTGGCATTCACTCTTTAGACCAGGCTGGCCTCAAACTCACAAAGATCCACCTGCTTCTGCCTCACAAGTGCTGGGATTAAAGGTGTGTGCGCCACCATTGCCTGGCAACAACTCACAGAACTTTTGAATAAAAAAAGTTTTAAATTCCTAGTTCATCTTGATGTTCAGAATTAAATAAAAAACAAATATCTGCTCTTATTTTTTTTCCCTCTTTAAAATGGAAAGCTAACAGTTTATAGTCAAAATCACGTTTCTAGGGTGCACTCAGAAACATGTCCAAGGCTGCAAGGTGCTGGAGACGTGGCGAGCTACTCAACTCTTCTGCTCAGTCTAAACCTTCATTGCTTTTATAGTAGAAAGCACACCACATGCTTGAGTGCCTCCTCCAATGGCACAACCAGTGTGTGTGTGTGTGTGTGTGTGTGTGTGTGTGCGTGTGTGTGTCTGTGTGTGCAGTTTTCACCAGGGGACCGACCACCCACCTCTCCTGCTCAGGCTGGCTCAGGCTGGCTCAGGCTGGCCTGCTCTAAGCACTGCAGGGGGCCTTTCCTTTTTTAACAGAAACTACACTAACTAATTCCCTAAAAAGATTTGGCCACAAGAAAATATTTAAGTCACAGCCAGAACTTTTGATATTGAAAATAAATCTCATGTCTTTCATCTAAGAGTTAAAAAAAAAAAAGCTATGGTTAAGAATTAATGGAAATTTTTAATGATTTGGAGATCTTCAAGGGGTAATTTCCAGCCAGTTCTTTGTTGGATTCTATTAACACATCCACCCACTTTTTAAAATGTAGGCATTTAATAAACAAAGTAATAAAATGCTTAATTTGAGGTATATTTTCTTACTACATAATAATGTAATAAAACTAAAAGGTGTATGAACTGCACATTATGGAAGAAGAGACTTCCCAACTAACAGTGCAGAGCATATGTCTAGACTAAGCAACAATTTATAGAGAATATGAATTTTCCACAACATTTTCACTGTCTGCACTGGACCCTGAGCACTCAGGATAAAATGAAACATATACTTCAGAGATCTTAGTGCTCGATCACACTGGGGGAAGGGCAGATGTGTTTTTATCAGTTTCAGATCACAACTGTCTAACCCTAAGACCACACTGAAACATGGATTGAATCTGGAGGTGTCCCATCAGACTAGATATAGGTCATGGAGCACACACGAAGCAACAGGAAAACAGCAAGGTGCTACAACAGCTTATAAAACACAAGCTTTCGAACAACAAACAAACAAAACTCCACATGCTTTCCCCAAGAGGAAAACAGATTTCCTTTGTTTCCATAATATTGGTAGTATCACCGGAGCCTGAAGAGAGCTCTAGTGGTAAGAAAGGACTTCGTAAAAAGCTACATTTAAAAGCACTGGTGTGCCAAGCTTGGCCTTCCATGCTTGTAATCCCAACACTCGGGAAAGTGAAGGCACAGAGTCGGGAGTTCATAGTCAGCCTGGCTAAATGAGTCCCTGTCTCAAAAACAAAAATAAATCTGGCCATCTTTCCAGCAGATGGAGGGCCTTTACCAGGAAAGGGTACATTTGGCACATTCACGTTGCATTTTAAGACCTTGTGATAGCACCTTCAGGGCACAAGTCTTCTAGATTCTCACAGCCCAAAGATCGTGACTTCTCATAGAAAAATATAACACTTGTGGCCCTTGCTGGTCCAGAAAAATGTGTGGCTTCACAGAGCCACCACTCTAAGGGACTAGGTAGTGCCAACCTACATGAGGGAGTCATCAAAGTCTCCCTGAAGCATCTAGCAAGCCTTGAGACAGAGCATCAGACCCACTGTTGGGCATGGTGGTGTGTGACCTCGGCAACCTGGAGGCTGGGGCAAGGTATATACAGAAAGTTCCAGGCCAACCGGGACCACATAGCAGACCCTGTCTCAGAAACAAACACGTAAGAAGTCAGTCCCCTGACTCTGTAAGGCCATCGTGACGGTCCAAACAGGTGTCTGTGGAGAGCGACACTGTCTTTTCAGGCCAGCATCTGCTGTGCCTGGAGCGGCTCCCTGCCTGGAAAACTACAAATACCATTAGGGTTCTCCATCTCTTAGAGGACAGCTGACAGGCTTCCTTGGGGATTCATGTGACTTCAGTCTCAGTGTTTAGAGCTAGCAGAACTACAGAGAGCATGGAGCGCAAGCTCCTCACTGCAGCGCAGGAGTTAACCGGCCAAAGACCACACAGTGACAAGCGACGGGAGGAGGGAGCGCACCCCCCCCCCCCGATCCTTAGCACTCTTCTCCTAAACTGAAGTCTAAGTCAGGCTGCACAGAAAGCAGGGCATCTTCATTTTTCAATTCTGTGGGAGAGCTTACCTTGGAGATAGTCCCCCATGGGAACAGTTGGTGGGTGAGGTCAGGGGGCTGGTCCTGCTACTGGGGTGTCGGGAAGGCGTCCGGCCAATGGTATTGCTTGGAGATCCCTGGAGCAAAAAAGGGCAGGTATCGTTGTCCAGTGGCTTTCTTGGACATCTAATCCAGCCCCGCTCTGTGTCTCAAGTCATGTGTAAATGGGTAGGAGCTGTCCACAGTGGCCCCAGCCCCCACCTCCACGGATTATTAGCTGCATGGATGGGTAACTGTTCTGTAGGAATCCACTGTCACTTCTGGAGGTTAATACTGGCTGCCAATCTGACGAGATCCAGAATCACGTAGGAGACACGTCACTAGACGTGTCTGGAGAGACTTTCAGGACTGCATTGATGAAGGTGGGAAGATCCAGCCTGAATAGCGGCAGTACGGCAGTACCCTCCCACGGGTGGGAGAGTCAGGCTATCAAGAGGCAGACAGAGAGCTGAGCACCAGCCAGCAAGCAGTCACTGCTCTCTGTCTGCTAACTAGAAATGCCTTTGTGACCAGCTGCCCCTCATGCCTGTCACTTACGCCATCCCTGTCATGGAGGACTGTGCCACCTTGGAGATGTGAACAAAAACAAATCCCCCCATCCGTCAGTTCAGAGCAATGAGAAAAGGAACTGACAGCGTTGTGCTAGAGTGATACACACAATTAAACACTTCTCTCATTACAGAGTTAAAATAGCTAAGACAGATTCAAAGAGAGAATGAATGAATAATAAAACTACTTAGCAAGCATTCAACTGACTCAACAACCTTACCCTAAGAAAAAGGTCACATAAGAGGACCAAGTCCATTCAATTCCAGGGTGGGTGCGAGGACCAGAAAGGACCCCAACCTCCATAGGCTCACAGGCTATTAACCAAGAGCAAGGATGTTCTCTGCCCATCAGCCTTGCCGTTGGGTGAGGATCACTTGGAGGTCAAGACCACCACAGTCGGGGCACTTACCACACTGGTGTTACTGGAGTTCTTGAGGTGGTTATGCAGGAGTTTGGTGGCACCATCCTGGAATGTTTTTGGCAAGGCACCAAGTAACATGGTAAATTCGGGAGTGTTCAATTCAAACAGAGAGATGAGCACAATCTGTGCAGCCTGGAAAAAGAAGTTGTGGCTAAGAGATGTCTGCACACCACAGAACATTCACTGACAGGGAGAGCATTTCTGTATAACTGAGGTCTGGAGGAAATGGTAACATCAGCCACAGGGAGCCTGGCATTAATCTGGAACATTCCTTGCTTCTGTTTTGTTTTGTTTTTTCGAGACAGGGTTTCTCTGTGGCTTAGGAGACTGGAACTCTCTTTGTAGACCAGGCTGGCCTCGAACTCACAGAGATCCGCCTGCCTCTGCCTCCCAAGTGCTGGGATTAAAGGTGTGTGCCACCAATGCCTGGCTTCCCTGCTCCTGTTTCAATGTTCTGGCCTAGACATATTTCTTTTTTTTTTTTTTTGTCTAGCACAAGGAAAAAAGCCAGTAAATAGAGCAATAAAAACACACCAGATGTTTAAGATTGCTCTCACTCTAGTGAGAGCTGGACACGCTGGCAGTGTACCCCAGTGCACCCTGGGAAGAGGGAGCTTCTAGGGAAACCACTGCCGGGTTTATCTTGGGACATTCCACCCACTGCACTACACATTTTAAATACGCATGAAAAATTTCTCCTTTTATGCCTTAGAAACAAGAACATAGGCGTTGGGGAAACAAACGGGGTACTGATGATAGACACTCTACTACCTTTGGGGAAGCATTTCCTTAACTGAGGTAACAATGCAGGGACATTTACACATGGGAAAGCAATGAGGTAAAACAAGAGATAAGGAATTTCCCACAAGCAAGTGCTCCTAAGAGAGTCAGCCATATGCACTCCAAGTTTAAAACCCAAAGACTCGGGAGTTAGCGAGGAGGCTGACTTGCTAAAGAGGCCAGGGTGGCACACACCTTTTAATCCCAGCAGAGGCAGATCTCTGAGTTCAGGGTGGCCTGATCTACATAGTGAGTCCCAGGCTAGCCAAGAGTGAAGAGGGAGATTTTGTGTTAAACAACAACCAAACAAAAACTGAGCTGAAAGACTCTTTTAGTAAATGCCAATTGTCATTTCTTGTTAATCTCTAAGAGTCAAGAGAAAGGAAAAGATCTTACGCAAAACTATTTCTAAGGATACAACAGTTTCTTTATATTCTTTAGAAATAGCTTCTATTTCATTATCATTTTAACTTACTATATGACTTCTTTTCAGAGAGTATAATTTTTAGGATTGCAGTCAAGTATTTGGGATATTTTTCCATGATATAGGCTCAAATCAAAAACTAAATAGAACGATATTCTTTGTGGGACAAAAAAACCCAAAACAAACAAACAAACAAACAAACAAAAAAACCATTATTTTTCAACTTTCTAGAACTGAAATCAGTCAGCAGCTTTTCCATCCAGTGGCCAGTGTACTCTTCCCATACATGACAACATCATTACTGTTGCCCTACAATAAAACATACTTTCCTGGATTCAAGCATCATCCAAAACCACCTGTTTCCCAACAAATAAAGGCACTGTTATGGAGATTTGCACTAACAAAACCAACTTCAAACAATGTGCAAATTAACTTGCACAGTTTAAAACCTTTAACTAGATGTTAAGACAACCTCACACACGTGCAGGAAAAAAAAAAATAGCATGAGGAGGAGAAAGCAGGCAGGAGACTGGAATTTCAGCAAGAAAACGCAAGCATGCTGTCACTGCAGTAAGTAAGCACAGACACTAAGCTTTTATGTGTAGCGACTGATGCCTGAAAACTGCACAGATCCATTACTACATTCTCACTCTTCGTTCTGGAGACTGTCTCAAGATGGTCCTGAATATGCTATACACAGCCAACGATGACTGAACTTCTGCTTCTCCTTCTCCTGAGTGCCAGGGTAACAAGGGAACAGCTGTGCACTACTATGCCCATACTGTGGAGCTGTGGATGGAACCAGGGCCTTGTGCATGCTAGGCAAGTACTCTACTCCTAGCTGCAGCCCCGGCCCTATTGCTAGATTCTTGAATAGTCTAGCTTCATGTGAAACGTGTTGCTGTCTTTAAGAGACTATATTTCCTCCCAGGATGATGTTACGTAACACCACAAACTTGAGGTTTTTCATGATGCTAATTTAAAAAGCAGTATCGTTTAAGGACAGTAAGCCTACAGTCCTAGACAACGTGCAAACTCTTGGCTATTTAATATGAATACACTTATTTGAGGAAAGAAAGTACACAATAATTTAAATTCTAGCTCATTGGCCTGTTTTCAAATAGTCCCAATGCTAAATTTAATGTATATTCCATTAGATAGATAGATAGATAGATAGATAGATAGATAGATAGATACATAGATAGTGTGTAAATGTATGGGTGTGTACCTACAGAGGCCAGAAGAGGGTGTCAGATTCTGTGGAGCAGGAATTATAGTGTTCTGGGATCTAAACTAGGGTCCTCTGTAAGAACAGTGAGTGCTCTTAACTACTGAGTCATTTCTCCAGCCCCTTTTACTTTAAAAACAGATTATTTTTATTATTTATCTGTGTTTGTGTATACACGTGTGAACATGCATGCATATGCCTGCAGAAGTCAGAAGAAGGCATTGGTATCTCCTGGAGCTGGAGTTCCAGGTAGCTATAAGCCACCTAATGCTGCATTTAGGAAGGCACCTCCCTAAGCCCTGGGTATTTATGATTTTGTCTTTCTCCCCTTGCTATCCTATTAAATATGGCAATGAGCTACACTTGGAACCATTTCACTGGGAAGGTGGTTAAACACAGGCACACACGGTCAGGCATCATTACATTAACAGTAATTCTCAGGGGCCTCACAACCGTGACTGGTATGGACGATGTAAGGGCAGACAGGAGGGTGTGCTTGGAATTAGTACACGGGCTCAGTCTACCTGTTTACAACTTTCTTCCAAGTTTCCTTCTCCAGGCCCAGAGCAGGTAGGAACTGACCTCGTGGAGGCATCCTCCCCTGCTCGACTACGCTGACGCTGAGGCTGATGCTGGGACTGGTGAGCAGAAGAGGGCAGGGCACATTAGAAAGCTATCTGCTGGCTCAGACAGAGTGAAGCTTCATCAAGAGTCAGTGAGGCCCCTGAGCCAGAAGTCAGGGACAGCACACACAGGTTTGTTTGCTGGGTTCCATATTTAACCATAATCCTCCCTTAGCGGGGGGGGGGGGGGGGGGATTCTTGCTTCCTGTGATATGAAGGGCAACCAGAGGTCAAAGCGAGTAAGACTTGAGAGGGAGTCACAGTCATGGCTAAGTTCAGAGTCAATTCTTAGTTTTTAGATTAGGCTCTGCAGCCTCTATAGTCACACACACACACAAGCACACACGCACGCACACACATATCCTACACACGTTTAAAACTGACATTTATTTGTGCCACGTACTACAGCATGAGAATCAGTTCTCATCTTTGACACGTGAATTCTAAGAATCAAACTCGGGTCATCAGGCTTGGTGGCAAGAGCCTTTGCCCTCTGGGCCATCTTGGTCATAAGATCATTTACATACTTTTCCTGATGCAGCCAATGGCACTTTTACACTTCCTAGGTTTCTTTGCCACGTCTTCATCTCTCAGATTTCTCAAAACATTTAGTAGCCCAGGAATTACTGTAAAAGGGCCCTGCTAGTCCACTGACATCTGACACAATGCACTGACAAAAAGAATTACATGAAACAAGCAGACATTCAGCATTTAGAACCCTGAAGTTGGAACATGCAATGAAATACTCTGGATGGGCATTGGGGTGCACACCTGCAACCCCAGCACTTTGAAAGGTGAGGTAAGAGATCAAAAATTCCAGGCCAGCTTGAGCTTCATGAAATCCTGTCTCAAAAAACCCCAGGGTGGAGGAGTAACACGGTGGTAGATAGAGCCTTGCCTAGTATTCCAAGGCCCTGGACTTGAGCTCCAGTACCATATCTGCACACATTCACACACACAAGAAAGAAACAAACTAATAAAAGTTTATGGGGAAAAGTCTATTGCCTTTAATCTATGGCCTTTCATAGATCACATGACTTCTTAAGTGCTGGAAAGAGCCGGGTCTTCAAGTTGTTTCCTAAACAGCACCAAGTCCTGAACAACCCTTATACATTAGCAAATGAGGCTCCAGGATCTGTTTCTTACTGTAATCAAGCCTGCCCTAGATGCCCCAGGCAAATATTACAAACAAGACCTCAGGAGAGTAAATGACTTGCTCTGCAAGGGCAGAAGCCCAAAGAAGGCCAAACAGCAAAGTTGTTTCTATGGTAACATCCTCCATTACCCTCCAGCAAACAGTGCACTGACCTCTAAAGGCTGGCGCGCGCACACACACACACACACACACACACACACACACACACACACACAGAAAAAGTTAATGTTAATGCTTGGAGTTCGGTTTTGGTTTTGAGAAACACTTTAAATATTAAAAACCCTTCTCTTGTCATGTGAAACATCCCTAAAAATGGAACTAAGACAGAAAAAATGAATATTAAACACGTTGGAAGTTAATGGATCTGAACTCCAATAGCCTGCATTAGTTTCAAAAGTTTCGAAAGGGCCATGGGTGTGGCTCAGTCAGTGGGAACGCTTGGCCAGCATGCATAAGGCCCTGGGTTTGATCCCCTACATTAAGGCAGGCGTGAGCCTTGGAAGTATATAACTGGTATAGTGCCAGGCCTGTAATTTCAGAACTTGGAAGGTAGAGGCTGGTGGATCATGGGGTCACAGGGATAAATGGCCGGGGGGTGGGGGGACCCAAGCAGCAGCTCAAAACTATTCGTAACTCCAACTCTAGGGGATGATGGCCTCTTGTAGACTCCAAGGGCACCTGTACTCACACATGCTAATACCCACATTCAGACATACAAATACACACACACCCTCTTCAGACATTGGCAGGCACCAGACACAGACATGGTATACAAACATACATATTTAAAGTCACCTTGAATGATTAAAAATTAGAGAGCGTCTGGAATGTAGAGGTACATCTACTTAGGAGATGAACTTCAGCATCGTTTGCAGAGAGGCCAAAGTAAGTAGGTAAATAAATGGATAACGACTTTTTTCTTAAATCTCTAGGGCCGGTGATAGAGTTCAGTTGCTAAAGTGCTTACAGGCTACAATGAGGACTCACATAAAGATCTGGGCATGGGATCAGTGAGATCGCTCAGAGGGTAAAAGTATGATCAAAACTGATGACCTGAATTTGGCCCCAGGACTCCATGTGAAAAGGAACTGGCCTCACATATGTGTCGTGGCATGTACCCTTTCCCGTGGGTATTAAAATACCAAGAGCAACTACTCCTAGACTTGGATACATGATTGCTACTGTTCTGTCGTTTGTATTTTGTTAAAGATTTTTTTTGTTCATTTATGTGTATCTGTGTGAGAGATTGCCACATGTGTGCAAATGCCCACGGAAGCCAGAAGGGTGACAGATCCCCTGGAGCTGGAGTGAGGGGCAGTTGTGAGCTGCCTGAGATGGTGATGGGGAGGGAACTTGTATCCTTAAGAGTAGTAAGTAAGCACTCTTAACCACTGAACTCTCTCCACAGTGAGTGGGATTCGGGAGGATGATGGATATGCCTCTCTCATCATCATCATCATCATTTGGAGGAAGGGATGTGAGGACAGAGTTAAGGTGCCTAGATGGTTAACTTTGAGACAAAGGTAAAAGTAACCTGAGTGCGCATGACCCAATTAGGTGAGCCCTGAAAAGAGGCCGAGAGACGGAGGGAGAGAAACCCTCCTGCTGGCAGACCTTGGGAGAGGGAAGTCTTTAGGTCATCAGGGGCATGCTCAAGAGTACATCACTAAGACTCTCTTTCTCTCTGCTTCCTGCTGGTCTCATAAGCCCTCCTGTGTCTGCATCCCTATCTAGAGGGCGCTCAACAGAAGCAGCAAAAACACCAGCACCACACCCTGAAATCCCAAACCACTTGACCTTTCATAAACAGCGTGTGGTATGTATCTGATTTTGTTCTGACAAAATGTTAACACATCTTTATACCTGGAGTTGGGAGGCTAGTGACTCTAAGGCTTTTGTTGTATTTGGTACTCCTGACACTTTGAAAATGACAATAGAAACATCTGTTTCTGACTTCTAAATCAAACACAACCACTGAACCATCTGCTACTGCATCTTCTGAACCCCACAGCGGCTCATTGGTTACACTTGGCCAATGGAGTTTCTTCTGACAAATACTTAGAGGTTTTACAAAATGACGGTAAATTAAAAACATTATTTATCAAAGGGAAAAGGGACTACAGGACAGTAAATGGCAGAGATGCTCTGGCCTGGGGGCCCAAAGAGCAACTGGGAAATGCTGTCCTGCTGAGCATCATTTCCTCAGTTTCCCCTATAACTTGCTATGATACATGCTTATCGCCATTAGAACCTGGGTCCTGGGAAGTACCTTGCTGGCTCCCATGTCATGGAGTCCCCCAACTCTTGGGGCAGCCTTGCTACGCGTGACCTCCCATTCCCACGGGTGAGCGGCGGCATCCCACCGGAAGCTGGGCCAGTTCACACTGCCTCTTGCCAGTGGCTGCTGAGCTTCCTTCCGGGCCATGGAGACAGGAGAGCGGATGACTGAGGGCACCGGGCTCACTAACTCGTAACTCCAGCTCACCTGTACCTGGGCGCTACCACTCAATCTAAACCCCTCGGTCCAAGACTGAGTGAAATCATCGCCATCCTTGCTCAGAACAGAACAGGCTGGCCTCATCCCAGGAGCCACAGGGACTGATGTCATTAGGAGGTGTGGCCTTGGTAGAGGACATGTGTCACTGGAGGTGGGCTCTGAGGTTTCAGACGCTCAACCCAGCCTTCCCTTCCTGCTGCCTGCCAATCCAGGTGTGGGACTCTCCGCTACCTCTCAGGTACCATGTCTGCCTGCCTGCCACCATGCTTCTTGCCATGATAATCATGGACTAAACCTCTGAAGCCATAAGCTGGCCCCAAGTAAATGTTTTCATTCTAATAGCTGCTGAAGTCAGAGTGTCACTTCTTAGCAACAGAACACTAAGATTTCAGGGAAGTGTCTGAATTTCACCCTGGGGAGGGGACAACAGCTGGAGTCTGCTCCCGAGGGCCTCCTGGCATTGGTAAAGCACCTGATTGCCCAACCAGATGTGAGGAGGAAGAGAGGCCTGCATGGCAGAGGGATGAACCGTGCTGGGCAGTTGTTAAGGTGAGCACACACTAGCCTGGTTTTTAAGATGGGTTTCTGAGGATGGGCCTCATGCCTTTAGCTGAGCACTTTACTGAATGACACATCTCCCCAGCTCACAAAACTCTAATATAAAAAAAGCAGAGGGCAACAATGGCCTTGTGCCACATGCGAAACCCAAGCAGGGGCTACAATACTAGCAGAAAGGGAAAGGGACAGCCACAGCACCCCAGTGTGACTCTGTAATTTGTGGGTGACTCTGTTCTGCATGTATCGGTGGGTAATGTTTCTGTGAAGCAGGGTACTATCTAGTAAGAAATCGGCAGCCTCTGCCCCACTGTTGTTTGCCTCTCCACATGGGGTTTTAGAAAAAAGCAGGAAACAGTCCCTGCGAGCCAGTAAAGCAGTAATAGCTTGGTGTTAGGTGTCGAACACACGCACGCGCGTGCGCGCACACACACACACACACACACACACACACACACAATCTGAATTCTATTGGAATCCCATTCTACTTCCCAAATGTAAACAGGATTTGGCCCTTTTAAAATCAGGAGTCTGCTGTGTCTTCCAAATGTTTCAGCCACATTTGACTCCCAGGTACCTTTGCAGCCAGCGAGCCCCGGATCTGCAAGTTCTTCATCAGAGCGCATTACTGGCAGACACAGAGCTCCTAGACTAGAGATGGGCAGAGCAGGGCAGAGAAGCAGTAACAGCACAGCCCGTGGCGACACGGGTGTGTGGGCCAGTGTGCACATTCCCAGGGGCGTGCCTACGCATGCCTGGGAAGAGCCTGCAAGTCTTGCTGCAGCTCGGTGAACATACCTTTCTCACGTCTGAACTCTTTGGTTCTGTAGTCCACGTTATGATTCTAGAAACAGCAAGCCTTGTTTCGCTGGAGTTTACAAAATCTGTGGGGTCCATCTGCCTGGCCAGAGACTCGATGTATTTCAGGATGGCGACTTTTACCTGAGAGACAATGATTATAAATGTTAAGATGTGTCACAGACTGAACAGAAGTCTTAGCTGGTGTTCAGCAGAATAGAGAACACATTGAAGGCAAAGCCTCCCCTCTGCCCCACACTAAACTCCACCCCACATCCATATATATATATCTATCTAGGAATATATATATATATATATATATATATATATATATATATATATATATACACACACACACACACACACACACACATATACATATATACACACACACAAACACGTATATATACACACACATATACATATATATGTGTGTGTATGTATTTTATATATATGTATATATATATATTTTTTTTTATTTTATATTATGTGCATTGGTATTTTGCCTGCATGCATGTCTGTGTGAGATTCCCTGGAACTGGAGTTTACACAGAGCCGTGAGCAGCCACGAGGGTGCTGGGAATTGAACTCTGGTCCTCTGGAAGAGCAGCCAGTGCTCTTAAGGGCTGAGCCATCTCTCCAGTCCCATTCCTAGATTCTTAGAGAGTGGTGGTCCCGCTGGCCAGGAGGCCAAGCTGAGCTCTTAAGCCAGCTCTGTGAAGCGCTCTGGGCCGGGTCCTGGGAGGAATTGCCACCCCCCAGTTTCTCCACTGGGTTTTCATCTCAGGAAAGAGGGACTATCATTATCTCTGAGACCCAGCCTAGAGCTTCGAGAACAGGCAGTGGTCAAGGAACAGACTGCATATGACCACACGCCACCTGAGTTATCGTGTCATACAGGTGTGACTTTCGATGTGCCTTAGAGAACGTTCTGGTGAACGTAGTCTAACACTGCACTGGTCGTAGCATACGAGGACATTTCCCTCTTCTAGTTACAGTGTCACCTGTGAAAAGGCTAAGGCACAATTGTTGGCGACGACACTGTTGGCAGGAATAAAATTTGGCACAGTTATTTCGGCAGATCCTTAAAGAGTTAGGCATTTGCCTACATCGGGAACTAGCCCTCCAGGGTCAAGAGAAATGAGAGCGAGTCCACCGAGAGCTGATGGAGGTGCTCCCATGTTATGCAGACACATCACAAGCCACACGGGAAACAGGGAACGTGAGAAGCAGCATGAACAGCCACCGACTGACCTTGAGGTTTGGAGTCTGAGTCTGATCCACAATAAATCTCATCAAAATGTTAAATTGTTGATCAAATGGAAAAGAATCCCTAGGATAAAAAAAAAAAAAAAGTTCTTATTTTTTAAAGATATTTAGTACAGAAAAGAACATAAAACTATACAAAATATCCTGATCCCTCTCTCTCACATACACACACACACGCATGTGTGTATATAAGTACATTCACATAAATACTAAATTAACACTTACATACAGAAAACTCAGGGAAGGAATAGGTCGCGTTGCACAGCTACTTTAAAATGTAAGACTAGGCAGCGAATGTAGGGAGGCAGGCGGCCTCCTGCCTCGTCCCCCTCCCTGGGCATTGCTTACATGGGAAGACTGCTGACCCCCACTCTGTGAGGCTAAGTAGATGTCTTTCTAGTTCTGTATGTACAGGTGACGCTCCTGCAGTCCACAGAGAAGGTCCATGTGATGCTCAGTGCTGGAAATTCTCTACACAGCTATGGCGCACACAGATGCCTTGTGTCCAAGCAGCCCCTTCTCTTGCCTCAAGCCTGTGACTAAAGCCACGGCTCACAGTCACCGTACATGTCTGGTCCAATCAAGTGATCCTGGGGGCTTCTGGCTAGGATGTCAGTCCTTTCAGGCTTATAGCGTGGCAATCACAACCACTAGTTTAAAACTGCATAGTGAAGCCCCTCAGATGTAACGCCATCCCCATGGCAGGAAAGATAAGGCAGCAGAGTACCGGGGGAGTGAGTGATAAGACTGTTTTCTTTGACATCTCTTAAGAAACGTCCTACAGAGGTATGGGAAAGTGACTGAGAACACAGGCTTCAATCTCCAATACAGGAAGAAATGTTACCGAGTATTTCAAAACTGAAGTGGGAACTGAAGAACTAATACAAGAAAACTGCAAAGTTTAGTAAGGGAGAACATACCACGAACCAGCGTTTTAGCCATAATTACCGACAGAAAAACCTAAAGTGACAGAGCTCCTGCCTAACGTGTGCAAAGCCTTGGATCCACTTGCCCTGGAAAGTGAGAAAACCAGACCAAGGGCAATCTTATTTCCACATCTGTTTATGTGCTGGAAGCCACAGCGGGCTACATCTGGGACAAAGTGCACGTTAGTGTCGCCATTCGATAGTCAACAAGCCACAGATGAGAGAGTCTTTCCCGCTTCTGCTTCCAGCAAGCAGGTGCAGACATGTCGGCATGTTTAGGGAGGAAGCGTGCCTGTTTTGGGCAGGGCTAGGGCAAGGGAGCAAGCACAGAGGAGAAAGTGGGCAAGCTGCTCGTGGTGAATAATCACTGATAAGATTCAGTGTCCTCCGGCACCTGCAGCTAGGCCATCTTCCCAGTAGCTTCTGCACTGACCTGACCTTTCCTACAAGAACAGCTATACATCTCAGCTGAGAAAGTAGGGGGGGGGGGGATGGAGGTGAGGCGGCGGACGCACACATTTTCTTGTTTCCTCTGTTTTTGCTTGTGCATGTGTGTGTCCCTGAAGATGCCGAGTGTCTGCCTTGATTGCTCAGTTCACTGAGACTGGATCTCTGACTCGAATCCAGAGCTCAATGCTGACCAGTCTAGCTAGCCAGCTCGCCCTGGAGAGCTCCCACCTCTGCTCTGCAAGTTCTGGGATTACAGGCGTCCACTGTGCCGGCTCGGCTTGTACTTGGATTTTGGCAATCCCTTTGGCCCTCATGCTTGTGAGGCAAGTGCTGAGCCATCTCCCCAGCTTAAAATTAGGACTCTTACAAGAAGGGGAAGGTCAAGGAAAAGTGACTGACAAAAGCTCACAATTCTATTTTTCTCCGTCTCTGTGTGTAATGTGTGTATGAAGAGAAAACTGGAGTAGGGAAGAAAGAGAAAATTCTCTGAGTTACACCCAATTGTTTTCCTTAATCACCAAAATTTAGGACTATAACATTAATATTCCCACCATTTGAAATATCTTAATCTTTCATTCATAAACTCGCCAGAATTGCGACGCCACTGAACTAACTCTGACTCACATATGTTTTATTTGCTCTACATAGGGTCACAAAAACATCTTTAGAATATGTTACCCAGATCTAAGCTTCTGCCCTTGCATGAAGCCTGGGAACGCTGGATCCACATTTTGGTAAGACCACATGTGGTGTCAGCTGTCAGTGACCCTCCTTCCTCCCTGCATGGCTGCTTGCACAGCTGTATCTGACCAGACCACCCAGCCAATCCCAAGCCGTCCCTCTGTAAGGCCCCATGGCACGGATGCACACTACTGCTAAAATGAATCCTCCAGCGGAAAATGTGCAAGCCTTATCATCTCAATGTATGCAAGTCTTAGTCCTGTCAAAATAAGAAGGAAGTGTGTTCAAACTCTGTGCAAATTACACAAGGTACAGGCTAAGGCACCGCTGGTAGCAGAATGTAGAGTCACAAATCCCACATGGCGGTTGGTCACATGGCAGCCAGAAGCGCAGGTGGGATGGTGGAATGGCATACGCTAACTGAGCAAGAAGGTACAGGAGGGCAGGACACCTACGCACAGGGCAGTCTGGAATCTTAGTGCCAGACAGAAGAGTGAAGGCCAGAAATCCTGGCACCAATACTAATCGTGACCTTAGGCAAGTGAGGGTGGCTTCCATTTCTCACCAAGAAAATACATTTCACCTCCGAGCTCCTTTGTTGTGAAAATCCCATGACCCCTGGGGTCTCTCCTGCCCTGGGGATAATGTTCAAGTGCCTGGGAGTCACCTGTCTGTTCTTTTCAAAGATCTGTGAGTCTCCCTTTTGCCTCGACCTTCTACCACATCAGTCAGGTCCCCGGGAGTGTCTTTTAAGATCCTTCACTTCTATCCCAGGCATGCGAAGGCCTCTCAACTGCACATCTGACACCAGGCTTCTGGAGGGCAACCCAGCTGTTGTAACAGCCAGATGGGCTACAAAGACTGCCATGTTTTCAAACTCCGAGCTGAGAAACTGTTGATTTCTGTATGTGTGTGCATTAATTGTTTCTTACTAATTATTACTTATTTGTTTCTGGGGAGACAACACACACACGCAGTGCATGTGGAGGCCAGAAGTCAACACCAGGTACCATCCTCAGTTACTCCTCATCTTACTTTTTGAGGCAGGGTCTCTCGCTGATTTGGTTGGACTCACTAATGAGCAAAACCCAGGACCCTTCTGTCCCTTCCTCCCCAGTGCTAGGATTACAGGCGAAAACAGGGTTCAGGAACCTAAACTTAAGTGCTTATGCACGCCCTTAGCATCAACTGAGCCGCTACCTCTCTAGCCCCAGGACAGCCAATTTAGAGACAGTTCATTTCTACAACACATATTGATAAATTGCTAAGGCAAATTATATAAGTAAAAAAATTAGTATTAAAATCTAAAATCTGCTGGCCGGTGGTGGTGCATGCCTTTAATCCCAGCACAGATAGATCTCTGAGTTTGAGGCCAGCATGGTCTACAAGAGCTAGTTCCAGGAAAGGTTCCAAAGCTACACTGAGAAACCCTGTCTTGAAACAAGAACAAAAATCTAAACCCTTCAGAAAGATAAATATTTAAATAATCTCTCTATGTCAGTAAAGGGATTTTTAAAAGCTCTATATATTCTATAGGAACTCACAAAATATTGACAACTTGGGGATGACATGGTATTCTTCTCTCCTAGAGAGACTGGTGAGGCATGTCAACCAGAATGTGAGAAACGAGCAAAGACTAAAACCGCGGCTAAGACTCCTCCAGCAGCACCATGGCCAAGCCCTTGAGTGCTTACCTGGTGACATCCAGTGCCTTCTGAACTTTCGCCTGCACAGATCCAAGTAAGTCTGCTCCCATTTTCTTAAGTAACTGTGTGAGAAGGACGAAAAGCCAGTCTTGCAAGTCATCCTTATGAATGATTATAAAATCCACGAGGGTCTCCAAAAACATACTGAAAACCTGCAGCAAGAGAAAAGCAAGCACATCACACCCTGCATTCAGGATCCCCTCCACAGCCCAAGGAAACTTGCAAACTCGGACACCAGGCCGCCTGTGCCGGCCTACCCCAACCTGGTCACTTCCGTTAACAATGTTTAACCTCTCATCATCAGAGACCAATGAATGCACAGCAGAACTGGGTTGGAGGTGTGGGAGTGGGGTGGGGGTGGGGATGGGGGAGTGGGGGCAGGGACAGGGGTGGGGTTTGGGGGTGATTGGCACTTACTCTCTGTTGTGAATTCCACCGCACACCAGGCCATGCAACAAAACAAATTCCATGTTAGTCCACAGCAAAGGAACAGCAGTTTCATGCAGTTTCTTTTAAGAATTCTGAAAAATCTACAAACTCATAAAACGCTTCTCCCTCAATCTAAACCTGTAACCGTCAGTACAAAGAGCAATACACTTTGTAGCGTTTAATGTGGAGGGTTTTCTGAGACAGAGAGAAAGACACACAGAGGGAAAGAGAGATGGGGTAGTGGCGTTTTGTTCTGATTTTATACTAGTCTGACTCAAGCCCTAGCATATAACACATTACTACAGGATGTACAGGGTAGAAGCCCTACTCAGGCTTCTGCAACCACTGACTTCTGCCAAGGACTTGGACGTGTGCTCATTTCAGATGTTATGAAGGGGCTTTCGGAGGAGCTACTGACAACTCCTGTTAATTCCCATGCCACCATGAGGTTACTGCTGCTACCTGAGGTAAAACAGTGCACAGTGGAGTATCCCTAAGCCCGTCTCAGGGAACCAAGTGGCCCTGACTACAACCCTGGTGCTGTGCTGGGACACCCACCCTCGCCTCCTTAATCACAGCAAGTGTTCACCACCAGGGGCCTCCGGTGACAGCTCAGGAAAAAAGGTCAGTGAGCTCTGATAGGTGGGACTCCTAGCGTGGCTCAGGTAGCTAATAAATAGGAACTAAACTGAGACCTCCAACTCACTGGACAAGAGCCTTCTGATGGCAACAAATTTCCTTCTTTATCCTCACATTCTGCTTCTGAATCAGCAATCTAGAGGTAACGGGTAACAGAAAGTTCATCAATGTGAAACCATCTAATATAATATCCCTTATGGTATAACTCTTACCAGCCACGGCATGCTTATGCTTTAAATTGTATCGCTCTTAATAATTCCGTAGAGAACACTCGAGGATCAGATCTTTGGTTATCTATGTGGCCCTTTAAACTCAGGTTTTGGGGGAACTTTAAAGTTAATGCTTTTGATGTTGTCCTTTCTAGAAGGCCTTCACAGACAGGCTTCCTAACTGACACGGTGAGAGTTCTTACAGGAACAAGCAGAGGAAACCCCTGGGCTTGGTCCCTGGGCTCCTGTGAGTGCCTCCAGGGCAAGGGTCTTGCTTGTTTTTCCATATTCCCTAGCTCATGGAAAGAAGTCAGGGAACGTTGAATGACTGGGTAGATGGGTGAATGATGGGTAGTGAGTGGGTAGATGGATGGAGGTGGCCGGATGACTGAGTGGGTGGATGAGTGGGTAGATGGATGGAAAGATGGAGGTGGCTGGATGACTGAGTGGGTGGATGAGGGGGTAGATGGATGGATAGACGGATAGTAGCCGGGAGGATGGATAGCTAGGCAAAAGGACAGATGGGTGACTAGATGAACCAACTGATGGGTGGCTGAACATTTGAGTAGACAGGTGGGTGGGTGGATAGTTAGTACTTCCAGGACAATTTCTGTGAGGAAGCAAGGATAGGAAAGAAGAAAGAAAAGCCAGTTGCTGGACTCCCTTGCTACCACAGGCTTTTTCCCTCCCAGGGTGACTTAGAAGAGACCATGTTCACAAGGAAACTGTAGTGCAGTCCTGTCCCCAATGTATTTAGTTCCTATTCATCTCCACCATGTGTTCATCCTCTACATCCCTGTCATCATTTCTCCATTTTCTCACTCTTCCGACATCAATAGCCCTTACTAGCCTCTTCCCAAACAACAGTATTTCTTTAAAATACTGTTAGATCCAAGGAACTTTTGTAAAGAGGCCCCTTTCAGCGCTACTCCTGGAAAGGACTTTGTTCCATCCCTTGTATGGTTTCTCCTCAGCAGTCCTCAAGCTTGGTGCCCATTTTCTTCCCGAAGGCAGGGGACCACCTAGGAGAACTCTTAGCGGCAAGCTCTAGGGAATAGCCAGATTCCATGGGGAATGTGGGGGGGGGGGAGGAGAGGAGGGACTGAATTGTTTTTTCCAGTAAAGGGAACAAATTAATACTTCTAGTCCTCTATCTTATTCTATGAATACAAATTCTACATGAGATACCAAAGTAATCACACACATTTCCCACTAATGTAACAGTTTTTAAATGGACTGTATTATATTCTAGAATCTAGCACACTGTTTGGCTAAAGGGAGACAGACAAATAGGTGACTGAATTAAAGATTACACTAGGTTCCTTTCATGACACTCCTTATTTGAGGCCCACTTAATTTGAAATTAATGGAGTGAGTTCCCAAGAATTGCACAGAGGAAGATGTTAATGAGGACTATTGGGGAATGCTCTCTTAGTCCTGGGGTGTATTACACAGTTTGCACGGGCATGCAGATGGAATATACATAAAGCCTGGTTACCTTGCTGTGAGGGTCAGCAAACATTCGGGTGAAAATCTCACACAATCTCTTCAATTCTACTCGACTAGAGGAAAAACAAAAAAAGTGGAAATAAAATGAGTTTAAACTGTCAAGGCTTTGCTTTTAAAACCCCTTACCTTATCTCTAGTTATATGACAACCACAAAAAGCCTATCTGGAATGAACTGTCTCAATTGTGATGAACTGATGAGACTCTACAAGCTGCGGTCTTAGACGCATTTTAAGACGAGGAAACAGATTTGATTGCCACGTGCTCACGAAGCGGACAGACAGGAGTCAAGACTGGGCCACAGGCTTGCACTCACCACATACAGTGGCATCTCTGTGCCTTCTCTTTAGCTGGGGACCACGGATAAGCATGGTGCCACGGTGCTAAGGAGAGTACAAGACAGTGGCTAACACCGGGACCAAGAAAAGCCTCAGTGCACACTGGTGTCCTCTGCCTTTTCAAATCAGGGTTGGGAGGAAGGGTTCTTTCTTCCTGTCACCCTGGGACAATACACCTCCTTCACAGAGTGAGACGCAGATGCCTCAAAGATCCTTCAGTAACCTAGAGGTGCTAGCAGGTCCACGGGGACCATTCGGGTGCTCCTAGGAAACACTGAGAATCTAGAAAGTGGACTAGTCAACAAGACCAAACAGAGCTTCAAGAACAACCATGACCAATCACATTCACGTGTTTGACACATCACAGGGTGTCTATGTTCATGGATAGAATGGGCTGATGGGAAGGACTTTGGGAGCACATTGCCCATGGAGGGACACTCCCTTAGCCTAGAGGCAGGAGGGAGGGCCTAGTGCCTACTCCAAGTGACTTGATAGTTTTTGATGATCCCTCCTGGAAGGTATCACCCTCTCTGTGCAGTTTGGGGAGGGGATAGGGTGGGAGGGGAGGTGGGGGAGCATGGGAAGGAGGGAAGGAGGGAGGGAGAGGGAACTGGGATTGATATGTAAAATTTAAAAAAAAATTAAAAGAGAAAAAGAAAGGAAGGAAGGAAGGAAGAAAAGAATGGGCTAATAGGAGCAGGGGGGATATGGTGTTGTAGACTGGACAGCCAAACAGCACATAAACCGCGCGGGCTCAGACGGGTCCTCCATCCACAGCTGCAAACCCATTCAGGCTCACAATTTTTCCTTTTTAAAAAAAAACCTGCCCTTCTCTGCAGTGAATACTCAAAAACTGTAATACAGTGTGATTCGTGGCTTCCACAGTCTTCACTCACTTAGCAGATCGGTCTTCAAACCAAGGACGTATTAACAGCTTGATTAGTGAACAGAATGTATTGGCCTCTCTCTTTCTCCTGATCCTTTTTTCTTTCCCTTTATTTTGGGGACGGGTAGAGACAGGACCTCACTCTGTAGTCCAAACTGGCTTAAGATTCACAACACGGAGATTACAGGCATAGCCTACCCATCCCTAGCTATCTCTCTGTTATTTCATGAGTTACAAAATAATGGCACGCTGATGGCAGCTTAGGTGTGACGACATGGGATGCAATGCTTGCTTATTTAAGAACTTTTATGAAATATCAAGGGAAGGTTGGAGAAATAATCGCTGTAAAGCTAATGTGCTGCTTCTATTGTGGAGTGCTGTTTCAGCCAGGGCTTGCTGGGTCTGAACTGAACACGTGAGTGGTGTGAGTTTATAGATGCTGCACTTCACCCTGGAGCCTGGAAAGGTGTAACCCTAGCTAGCAATGTGCAGCTGCTCTCTGTACCTGACTCCTCAGAAGCATCATCTAGTGGACAGATGCACACCTTACAGCAACCAAATGCCTCGGGAGCCTAACAGATTACAGAGAATTTGCTAGATGCTTCCGATCACCTGTGCGGCAAGCTCTACGTCTTCCCACTGTTAGCACCCAGTGACTAGAACTTTTGCAAGGACTCTGTAATGGCCGACTCCCTCCCTGGGATGTAGCCCACGGCAGTGCCTAGTCCTTACCTCAGTGTTCTTTGGCTCTTCAGTAAGTTCTGCAGGCCCAGGAGCCCCTCTTTCCTTTCCGACCAGTTGGAACTAGCACAGTGATTGAGAACTTCTGCTACATCCTCGGTCTGCCGCAGATAATGAGGAATGCCACCATTCCGGGAGCCGTATGAGCGCTCAGAGCACACACTGGAGGCGTCGCTGTTGGCATCATCGTCAGAGTACATTCCGTAGGGCTCATACCTTCTCCTCACAGGCTTCTTCTAAGATGTCCCATGAGGAGCGGGGCAAGGAAGAAGCAGAAAGGTGAACCGCTCACAAGTTGTTTACTAAAAGCTACAGTGCAGTAAAAAGACGCACACATTTTTTCTATGCTTACAGATTAGGGAATTGTCAGGGTAGTAATACAAGTGGCATGACATACATCTTGTTGAGGGAGAAATAATTTGTTGTTTCGTAGAAAGTGTGTGTACGTGCATGGGTGGCTAGGAGGGTTTTCAGCGAGATGGTCTTGGGTTCTAATCCTGGTATCACTGTTGAACGACTGTGCCATTTTCTGCCTCAGTGAATCCTCTCAAGGGGGGTAGCCATCACACTTGCCTGACCAGACTACTGTGAGGGTGTAGAGGACCCTCAAGGACGAAGGGCTGACACACTGTGGATGTGTGCACATGCTCAGCCCCTCCAGAGCACAGAGCAATCTGCCTTAGGCATGGGCTGTGCATGGATGCCCTTGGCGTGAACAATCCTGCTTGCTTTTAAGACGTTTGCAGTTGAAATATCAGTGGTGGGAGAATTCTATGCAGAAGGGTCCCATACTGTGTGAGCCACTTTAGGTAACAACATCATTTGGTTTTATAATGCAAATAGGATTTTTTAAAAAAAGATTTAAGATTTATTAATTTATTATGTATACAGTGTTCCTTCCTCCTATATGCATATCTGTGTGCCAGCAGAGGGCACCAGATCTCATTACTGATGGTTGTGAGCCACCATGTGGTTTCTGGGATTTGAACTCAGGAACTCTGGAAGAGCAGCCAGCGCTCTTAACCTCTGAGCCAACTCTCTAGTCCAATTGGCTTCTTTTTAAAGTAGACTACAATTTCCTTCATTCCTCTCTCACACCCTGAACACAAGACAGTGTGTTAAATCCATATATAGTACAATGTGCAATAAGGTTAGCAATACTATGTTTCCTAAATGTAGTCACTGACTCTAGCCACACAGTCTTAATTTTCAAATAACTTAATTATTTTGAATACCAGCTTGCTCTGGACTATACTGCTTTCTGTCCCAACAAAATCGTTCATAACAACCTTTGTTTTTACCTTCGAAAATATTTTTGATTTAGATAATAAACTATATGGTTTACACTGACATAAAAGCCAGATTCCTAAAATTAGACAAAAGGATGGCTGACAGATCTATTCATGAAATTGTGATAAAATAGACACAAATTGAGTTAATAAAATGAAGCACAAAACGGAGTGGGGAGTAACATAAAAACAAAACAAAACAAAAAACAAAAAAACAAAAAAACAGAAGTATGTGAAAGGTGACTGAGTCCATCACAAGTAAAGACAGCAAATCAGAATGCTTACCGGAAACACGTGAGACCAGAACGGCTAACTACAACTACATTTTGTGCTGCTTTCAACTAGATTCTAAAAAAAAATACACTTGCAACAGGAAAAAAAAAAAGAGTTGTAAACAAAGTGAAAGCATGGGTACCTTGCTCCTGGCGTCTCCTAACAGCTGGAGGCAGGAAAGTATTGGAGGACGGGGAAAAAGCATAGAGAATTATGTCAGAAGCGCATGTGGGGATTGTTCTGGCAACAAAAGTGTACAGCACACATCTCTTAGCAAACCAAAACACAGGTCAGCAAGCGGTTTGTCTGGGGAGATCATAGCAGACTGCTTCCCGGATGCTATTGCCTAGTCCTGAACCTCTCCCCAGGCTCTGTGGTTCGTGGCAGAATTCCCACGGAGACGTCCCACACCCAGGAGGTACCTCTCTAAGTCTCTGTTCATCCGTTCTTTGCTTCTATGAGAGCTTCTGCCTATCCCAACGGCTTCCATTCTGTGGGCAGGGATTCCTTCTCTACCATTCTGGCACTTTCCCCTTTAGAACCAGTCACTTGGAGAGACCAGACAGACTGGCCCTGGGGCTCAGAGGAAAGCTCAAGTCAATAGCAAAGGTCTGAACTCTCCAGCCCCACTTTGCCTTCTAGAACTTTGCATACGGTCCCTTATGTGGGCTTCAAACATCTAAGAACATCTTTTGCTTTAACTGGAAGTCTCCCTTAGCTCCACTGTTTCCCAGCCTCCTGACCAGCACCACTTCCTAGGGTCTCTGAATATATATATATATACAAGGCAGACTCAGAATGCTTTGACTTGGAAGGACAAAGCCTCACTGGATTCTGTTCCAGCTCTTGACTCTTAGGTTAAAACCAGTTGGAGCAACACTGCGTACCCTGATACCTGCCAGGAAAAAGTCCTGTGCTTAGGCTGATGAATAGAGCTGGCCAGGCTAGCTGCCTGGCAGGAAAGCCTTCTGAGAGCCACCAACGGCTTGCTCACAGATACGCATTAAAGAAAGCAGCTGACCGAGTAAGAGCGACCAAGGCAGAGATGCAAAGAGATGGAAGCGGGACTCATAGCAGCCACGGACCATAAAGCGATGACCAGGTGGCAGCGCCTAAACTCAGAACCTCAGACTCGAAAGGCAGGGCTTTGTGTGTGTTCTTTTTCTAACAAGAAAATAAATCTTAGAACAGCAGGGGGCAGGGCGCCTATGAGACCACTCTGAAGACACCTATTTCAAATGCTGAGCACGTGTACCAGGCTGTTCCTACCAGCGGGGAGGCAAGTTCGCCACAAGCTGGTCCTACAGAATTTTCTCTGTGCCACAGGCTGATGGAGCCACGAGCACTCAGTGGGTCTTTTGTTTTTGTTTTGTAATATGCAAAGTCCCCCCATTAGTGCTTTCGATATATTTAGGAACATTTTCATGTCTGTACATGTACGTGTGTGCGTTTGTGTGCATGTGTGAGTGAGACACCATTCTTCAAGGTGCTGTTTACCTTGTTTGTGAGACAGGATCTCACCGTTTCCTGAGCTCCTGGACTCAGCCCTTCTCCATCTCTCCGGTGCAGCAACGACAAGGGTATGCCACCACACACAGCTTTCTATGTGGACTCTGGGGATTAAACTTGGGACTGAGCCATCTCCCTCCCCAACCCAGGACATTTTTCTCAAATACTGAATTGATCCATTTTGGGGGGGGGGGTCTAAGTCAGAATCACGTAACAAAATAAATACAACTTTCAGGTCTCAAACTATCTATCGCCTGTCGTTATAATCATGCATGTGGGCTGTGCTGTCAAAGCTCGTAAAGCAAGGGAGGCAGCAGGATGGAGACCAGGAAATACTGTGGGAAAAGAAGCTATGGTATACAGAAAACAAAAGACAGAGCTTGATGACATGTGGGAAAGCCCAATGCCATCAAAGTTTCCTGAATGCCAAGGAGCATTCATGGGCCAGGTTCTTGATGCTGCTATTTCCTGAGGGCTGACCTTACTGTGTGTTGTAAAGAGGTAAAAGTGTAAGAAAGAAAACAATAATAAACTTTGCATAACTTTTCTCTCTTTTTCTCCTGTGTAATGTATGTGTGGGTATGAGTACGTCAGTGTGTGTGTGTGGGCGTGCGCGCACGCAGGGTGTGCAAAGAGGATGCCAAGTCTTCCTTGATCACAATCCTCTCACTCAAACCCACAGACTGCCATCATGTAATCAAGATGGCCAGCTTTCTCAGAGCATCCCATTCTGCCTCTGGAATGCTGCGACTACAGGCAGGCCACCCCGGTCCTGGGATCTGAACTCTGGTCATCACCTTTGCGAGTGCTTTAATGGTGGGTGGAGCTGTCACCGCAGCCCTGTTCACACGCACGCCTTTGGAAGAGTGTAAAAGACTTAGTCACCCGATTTGAGAGCAATTGTGCGTTAAGGTAGAAAAGTATGTTTGAGCAACTGCGACTCCATCCTTCCTGTGCTTCTTACCAGCGCGTCAGCCACTGCAGCTTCTAGGTCTGTGCTGGTGCTCAATACTCGCATGGCATTCACGGAACCAGGGATTCTTCCTGACTGGCCCAGCCCAAACCGATCTATTTAAAGACAAAAGCAGGACATATGTCAGTCTACTCACGGCGCCTCAGTTCTCTACAAGGGTTCCTGCCTCCTCCCACTAAGACAGAGACATGAAGACTCCCTAGCCCGTGTGAGCTGCACTGGATATATCTGCAGCATCACATTCAACACTGACATGTCACTGCAAGAGCTTTTCCCTCTTTTTTTTTTTTTTTTTTTTTTTTTAAAGTGGAGCCTATTCTGGACATTCTGTTACTGCAAAGGCCAGAAACAGAAGTGAACTTGTAGAAGGGAGCAGGCTCTGGGTTGCCACTTTTACTCTATTTACCTTCTAGAGGCAAGTGCCCTTGATGGTTACTTAGCTTAAGCAAGCTTCGTGGTTTGGAAAATAAGATCTAAGATCCAAGGCAAAGTGATGGGAAAAGTTAAGCTTTTAAATAAATTATTAAATTGATCTTGGTACCAATTTTCCTTAGTGTTATTATTATTTGAAGATCAACTCACTAAAATTATCTAATGATCACCAGGAGAATCTAGTGCCTTCTTTTCAGAACATCAGTCATCTAGATATCATCAGTTTAAATGTTACCTGAGTCCTTTCAAGGATTTTTTGAATGATAAACTTTATATAGATAAGGCAGAAGGAATCCAAAAACTCAGGATAAATAATAACAAATTAAGCAATTTTTAAAAGTTATTTTTATTTGTGTGTGTGTGTGTATGTGTGATTGTATGTCACACGTGTGCTAAGAGGCCAGAAAAGGGCACCAGACACCCTGGAGCTGGAATTAAAGGCACTCGTGAGTTGCATAACACAGATACTGGCAACTCAACATGGGTTCTCTGGAGAAGCAGTGAGTGAGTGCTCTTATCCACACAGCCATCTCTTCAGCTGTCTAGGGCTGTTCTTCAGCAAGGTAAGTGAACTAACTTCAAGTCCCGTGGAGTCAGCTAGCCAGCTTTCCTTAAAAAGTGCTGGAGACTAAAACTACAGCAGGAGAAAGTCCATGGAAGTTATATATTCCAGGGAGGGTTCATCAGCCAGCTACTGATGAAAAGTTTACTCATTAAAATTCTAATACATAGAAACCTCTAGAAGAAAAAACATCTGAAGATAACAAACATGTTTTCCTGAGTTAATAAGGAATATTTGGACAAGGAAAAACAAATCTCTGCCTTGGTCACACTTTAGCAATACAGCATTTAGAGTAAGGTATAGTATTTATTTCTACAGGAATTGATCTTTCTTTGGAAATTAATTTTAATTTATTTACTATTATGTGAGGAGGGGCTATGGGACTCAATGGAAGTCAGAGGACAACTTGCAGGAGTCAGTTCCCTTTGTCCATTGTGTGGGTACCAGATAAGCAAATCAAGTTGTCAGGCTTGGTGGCAAGACTGCCTGCTGAACCATCTCGCTGAGCCCTAGGAATTGACTTGCTTATGAAATGATTATTTAAACATTTGGACAGGGAGTGAAACATCATCTACAAAATCCATGAACTTTAAAATGAAGCATTATTTAGCTTTTTAAAAATATCACTTTCAAAACAGTTTACCCTTCTACCACCATAGGCAGGAAAAATAATTTACACACTGCTAGTTAATAGACTCATACACAGTCACAAATTTTTTAATAAACAAAAATTGTATGTCATACTATCCCCTTTTTTAATGCACTTGGCTGATGATTTCAAATGTCATCTTATTCCATTAGGCTTTGGTGGTGAGTTACTGTTGCTATACGAACTATACAAAGACCACGGACAGTCAACTCATACCCTATGTATGTATGCTCATTTGTTAGAATGTGAAGCAGGGATAGAATTGAGAGTTATATGCATGCTGTTTTATACGTAATTTTGGTTCAAGTCTTTTTTTTTTTCCATTAAAAAAGGGTGGATAGCAGGGGATTTATGAGTAACGGAATGAGTAATTCAGTTAAAAGCCATTTAAAAGTTACCCAGCATACACATAAAGTCTTAAAAACAAACAAAAATTAAAAAACATAATAAAACAAAACAAACAAACAAAAAAACACAAGTAGATTTCATGCCAGCAATTCTTACTCCAGGGATAATAGAAAATAGAAAATGAAAAAATTTTAAGAATAAAGCAAGGATTCATTGCTTCCCAGATGCATATAGCTTTGCCACACACAGCAATTGTTGGTCATCTGATAAAGTAGACATTGAGACCTGTGGACCTGAGGGGGACGTGCTTGTCTAGATCTAAGCAGGATGATGGACTTTTTGTTTTCACCAGGCAAAACCCTGTGGTCCATGCTCACTGTTCCAAAACTGTGATACAGCCAAACGATGGGTACAGAGGACTGCATCCTCAGCCTGGCCCCTAACCCTTAAGGGAACACATTCAATCAGAGCCTACATGGTGGAAACACATGGCTGGCTTCGTTTAGAAAGGGCAAGTGACTCACTTGATAAACAGGCAAGCATTGGCACCAATAACAATATGCGAATTAGTAGTGCATGCTGACTCCATTGAGAAAGTAGCCATTAGGGGCTGTGAGTGCATGACAATGACGCCAATGCCAGTGAAGGTGACACAGAGATGCATCTTTAGACACTCACTCTTTACTCCCGTGACCAGTGGGTTTTGCTTAAGTGAGGCCGAGACAGGTTCGGAGTTCACAGGCAATGAGATTAACCTCTTGCCTCTTCATGGCCTGGGTCCTGACCCTGCTTTTCTATAAAGCTTCCTGGGCAATTTATTTACTTCCGTATGTGTGACGTTATGTATGCTGTAACGTGAGGTGTGCGGAACTGGTACCTGACACTAATACAGCTAACTTAGTATCTGACCGTACACTGCTGGATGGTATCAATCCCCCCTTCCCCGTGGGAGGCCTAGCGACACCTACTTAGGTTTCTTCCTTTCCTGGGAAGGGGGTGGGAGGAAGGAGGAAGTACTTCCCTGAGTTTTGTTTTGATGAGCGCTAGAGAAACAATGCCAAACAGGCGACCAAGCATCAAGCCTACGGACAGAACCATAAACATTCAACAACTCAAAAAAAGGACGACACGGGGAGGCGAGCATGAGGCGCACACATGCCAAGCGCTAGCTGACACGATGACAGATGACAACGAAGGCTGACGTGGGGGTGGCTGGGAGGGTGGACGGGGAAGCCGAGTCATGCAGTTAGCACTTGTTCACCTGACTGCCCAACAGATTCAGCAGTGGAGAGAGCGCTAGTGGACCGGGAGTGACGTCGAGAGGCTGCAGGTAAAAGGAACGGCAACACCCACAGGGTTAACACACGAGTACCAGAGGAAATGAATGCAGGGGCTGCTACCACCGAGGCCGCGTTTCTCATGAAGAAATGGTGCTGGGTATGAATGGACAGCAGGACTGGCCCTGCGCTGCACGGTGGCCGCTGGCCTCACACAGCTCTTACACACACAGGCAGACAGAGGCACTCGTTAACAGTGCGGCTTCGTACTAAGGACGCACTGACGGACTCAGACTCCAGGTTTAGGTTCACACACGAAGCTTCCACCAGCCGCCATGGAAATAAGCCACATGGAGAACATTAGGGGTCAGAGCGCCATCTGAACCCAGGGCGGACAGCGAGAGGATGGAGTATCAACTCGGCTTACGAGATGGGTCACTGGTATGTGATGCATATGCCACCATGCACCAAAAACAAAAGCAGAGAGGTTCGTAACGTTATCTCAACAGAAATTCATGGGGAACAAGGGGGCCTCGACATCTACATTCTACCTCGCGGGAAGGCTTAGTGTCTACTGCACAGCTACCCTCGTTATTAACGTGCCTGTCTAACTGTCGGGCACCCACGGGCACTGAGTGTGGAGGCCTTCCTTGGAGATACAGTACAGAAGTCAGTCTGAGCACTTCAGAAACACATGGCAGGCCTGTGCCCACAGCGAGCTGGGGCCCCTGGTAATATACTAACGCTCTCGTTTCTCTTGGTTTCTTCATCTCTAAAGTGGTTGTTAGTCACAGTACCCACCTCTTGTTTGTCATGGGGCGTGTTAAAGGTGAGCACACATCACCAGCACACAGCAGCGCTGGAGATGGTATTAGCATTGGGTGTAGCGGTGAATGAAGGCCATGGAAAACTTGCATTTAGGATGCTATTTTATTTATTTTTTAAAAAGACTTATTTATTTATTATCTATACAGTGTTCTGCCTGCACGTATCCCTGCAGGTCAGAAGAGGGCACCAGATCTCATTATGGATGGTTGTGAGCCATCACGTGGTTGCTGGGAATGGAACTCAGCCTTTGAACCATCTCTCCAGCCCAGGATGTTATTTTATGAACAAGTATTTGTAATATGTTTATGAAGTCATTGACCTTAAGATACGGGTGTTAAATTCCGTTAGTGAGACAAGAGTAACTTTGGGAAATAAATTTGGAATAAGAAGTTGGTCTGCAATGGTGGTGTCACAGGTCCACATAATTAATATTCAGCTACATAATTAATATTCAGAATAACAGAAGATGCTGTTGCCTTTCACTGCTCTGGGAAAGTCATGGTGCTCTATCAAAGATGCCCACGTGCCTACCAAAACCACAGAGAGTTGAAACCCTTTACCCTCCACCTCCCAACCCCCCACGCAATTCTGCACACATTAAACCCACACATCTGTTCACTAAGTGTCAAAACCGCTAACCTAAGGTATCATTTTATTCCTAAGTTCTTGTCACTTTATACAATATACATCCTGTGATAGATGCGACATTAAGAAGAAAATGTTACCTGGCCAAGCAATACAAATTTTAGCAGCTTGGAAAAAAAAAAAAAAGGGAAAATCCTCTTTTTGGAAATCCACACACAAAACATGAGGTGATGTGTCTAGAACAAGACTTACCACTTTGCTAGGTAAGGAAGCTGGTTCCGTTTCGTTGAGACACAAAGTTCTTATCTATTACATACACGCTCTATCTTGAAGCTTACATTGGAAATGGTTTTAATACTCGATTTTATCTGTAGGTCTCTTAAAATACAATTCTTCGGTTTGACCACAATACTATACAGAACATCTGCTCTGTAACGACTCCTCCACTGAATTCCCAAGTGAACACCCAGCAAAGGCATCCATGAAGGACTCACTTGTGTCAAAGCCTGACTTGACTGGCAGCAGAGGGCTAGTCTATAATTTCACTTAGCATAGAGACTACTGAGAGGCTTCAACACAGTGTTCCAAACTTAAAACTGGCAGCTACGGCTGGCAACCGCAGCTTCCACACCTGTAGATTTTGAATATGCTGCCATCAATCCGTAAGGAGCACAGCACACAGCCATTTACACAGCATTTACATTGTTTCATATTTATAAATACTGCAGAGATGATTTAAATGTATGGGTGGGGAGGCATGGGAGCACAGGCTGTGTTCAATACTCCAGCATTTTATAGAATGGACCTGAGCATCTGCAGGCAGCCCTGGGAGCAATCCTCTGTGGAGGCAGAGAGAGTTCTTCATTCTCTGAGGAACAATCACCTTCCTCCCTCCTTCCTCCCTCCCTCCCTCCCTCCCTGTCTTCCTCTCTCCCTCTCCCTCCCCCTGTCTCTCCCTCCCTCCCTCCCTTCCTGCCTTCTCCTAATGAAGTCTGGCCAGGTAAGTTTACTCAAAGGGTAACTGGTGGGAAGTGGTTATGGAGACAAACAAGAAAAAGGAGGCATTCAGGGATATGTAGCAAGCTCCCACAGGGCAGCCACTTTCGGGAGGCCTCTCTGGCTCCCTAACTCCAAGCCTGGAGACCAACATTTCAGTAAATCACTTGAGCCTCTTTCTGTGTCTAACGCAGTAGGGACTTTACTACCAACCATTTACAACACGGTTTAGCGATGGGAGAGAACTCATCAGGGCTGCTTTTGAACAAGGCAGGCTGGGAATCAAAATCACACTTGGCTCCACAGTTTTAATGTATGACGTAAGATCAGGCCTGGAGGCTGATGATGAAGGTGCTTGTTACTCAGTGTGAAGGGACTGAAGGCGCTGTGCTAGCTGATGCTTCAAATGGTACCTTTGTCATTCCTCTGGACACGAGTTTAGGGGCCAGGTTTAACCCAAGGAGGTAAAAGTCATGGTCTAAAACGTCTCAAAGTTTCCTACTGCCCTGAGCACAACAGAAGATAGCGGCTGATGAACCCAGAGTTCAGCAGCAGCAGCAGAAGCTTCTGCCTTGGCAACAGCAGCTACACACTGCAATATTCTGGGATGTCGCCAAGTCAGTTAAGCAGATCTGTTTACCCAAGGAGCAAAAGCTGATGTGATCAATCAGTTGCTCAGGGGTCAATCTAGACACCAGCAATTCAGCCCTCCTCGTGTGGTCCCCAAACAGCATGTCAGACTTCAAGGCTGGGCCCACAGTCAGTGCAGAATAATCAGCCATATGAAAAGGCTGGCCTGCTTCTAACAGACAAAACCATCCACAGACTGAATTGCTTACTCATGCAACAGGCTGTCTGGAAGGTCAGAGAGCTAGCCAGGGCGCACAGGTGTATAACCTGAATTCAAAAGGAGAAAAAAAAAAAAAAAAAAAAAAAAAAAATCACCAGTTCATTGAGGAGTTAAACGTAAGTAGTATCGGTGTCGCTATCCTTGAGATTCGACTCCAAAGCTTGAGGGTTGCTGCGGCATCCCCGCATGCGCTGGCAAAGGCTGAGGGACGGAAGAATGGCTGAGAACCTAAGGGAAGGATCTATCAGAGAAAGAGAACTTTGGTGTCTGTTTTCAGACGCTACAGCTTGACTTCAACTGTTGGCAGTAACTGGAGAAAAAACAAGGCATCAGATGAGGTGTACGGCATCAGCAGGAGAGACCTCCCACTTGATCTACTACTGTCTCTCTCAGGGTGACATGTGCAGAGTAAAAAAGATCAGCTTAATAATCTTACAGCCAAAAGGGGGAGGAAAAAAAAAAAAAAAATCGCAGACCGCTGAAGCCCCTGCTTCACTTGGAATGGTGTCATTTCAGGTCTAGATCTAATCCAACAAAATTACTTCTGCCCTTATGTTCACTAAGAGTAAAATATACACCCCGATGACGCTACACATGCCAAACAACTGAAAAACAACCTTCGAAGGATGAAAACCCTTTCATTAGTGTGCATTGGGAATTGGTAATTTCTACTAAACACATGTACTATGTCCATTTTAGAGGAAGGCAGGACTATTAAAACTAAAACTCATTTAATTTTCAAAATATTATATGAGTATACTCTTGCCCTTCCTTTGAATAATATATACTGGGCTTCGGGGCACGGCTCAGTGCCCAGCCCCTGGAAGCTTGAGGCCCCTGGTTCCATCCTCTTTGGGAAAAATAAAGGTACAGGGATGTGGCGACTAAGTGTGGATTCTGAAATTCATTCCGTGTGAACTCACGTGAAGCCATTCACTTCAGCTAAGTTTCGCCTTATGTTAGAAACCGGCCCCCGAATGGGCTTGTCTGGTGATAGGTGGCCACAAATGGCCATGGCAGATTGAAATGGTGTTTTGTTTTTGTTTTTTGTTTTTTCCCCTCTAATGTGTGAAAACTGGTAGTTGTTTAAGTCTACACATGCAGAGGGGACCACAGGGGTGACTAAGGAAGAGGGTAGAGAGAAGAGAGGATCACAGGGCAGCAGAGGGAAGCGGCCATTCCACCCAGCAGTGCCTGCACAAACACTGGGAGCCCCTGCGCAGAGCCTATGGGTACTCACCGAGCGGAGCGAAGCCCCGAGCAGGGCTTGTATCGCGGCTGCTCTCACGGCTGGCATCGCGGCTGCACCCCTGACTCATGCTGGGTCTGGGGATACGGCTGCTCCGTGCTAGCGTGCAGCATGAGGGGTTTCAGAGAAGGTGAACAAATTTAATGAAGACAGAAAAACTCAAAAGCATCAGTCACATTTGCTTCAATGTAATTATGACATTGTCTATGCTGGGAAGTATGGGCCACCTGCCCATGATGAGGCCTTACTGGCGGGAGGGTCTGGATAAACCTGACTGTGCTCTGACCCTCAGAAGGCTGTGGATTTAAACACTGACGTGAAATTACACTTAAATGTGAGAAATGAAATCTTCCCAAAGGACAGCCTGGCAACAAATATAGTAAGATCTAAAGCATGTCAGAAACACGAATGTCTGTGGCTTCAGCAGACATCCCCCCAAGAGCTCTGGAGACCAAAGCTGTTACAACGGCGCTTGGTTCCCCCAGAAGACCATTTAGTTTGGATGAATACTAGGAATGAAGGCTCTGGTCTTCAAGTCTGCAAACTTCCCTAAGGAAAAGAAGATGGCTCTTAACATGCTCGTCAAGATGGAGATGCCACACACATGAAGCCAGCCATCTAAACCAACAGATGCAGAGCCAGGATTGACTGTTTCTTATCTTCCGAGCTCTACAGCAAGAAAACAGACAATCTCAGTATTTGTGCAAGAAGATTCCTCTTCCGGCCTCGGAGTAGTAATTACTTTTTAGCTGTCTCTGAGCAGTTTATTATTCCCATACATTGTAACATTAGACTGCAAGACAAAGTCATACAATAGTCTAAGTCTAATAATATTCTGGCTGTGAAGCTTAGGAAGACTATGCCACCCATGCTGCTCAAATTGAGGAAAACAGAAATAACTGGCAAACACTCTTCAGAGACACTGAGTACGGGCTATGTGCAGAGGGATGAGTAACATCACAGGTGGTGGGAAGAGCTCATCTTCAGAGTTCTAGAGCTTCTAGGCTGGGCAGGAATGACTGGAGGCTCTGGAAACTAGTGGGCTTGGTACTCCGATGTAAAAACAAGCACATCTTCTACGTCACCATGAACACAGCCTAATATTTCAGAGCAAAGATTTATAGCTAAACTGTAACAAGAACACCTCACTGAGCAGAATCATGAAACACTGCAATAAAGAAGAACGCGGGTGAGAAATAGAGGCAGCTTAGAGTGTGCTCCACGGCTGGTCAGTCTGCAGGAGGGAAAGGTGGGAAAGCAATATAATCTGATATGATGTGACCCACCCAAAGGCTTCCCTGGACATTGTCCAATTTGGACAGAATGACACAGAAACACTGAGGTTTGCACTCCCAGCACTGCTGACCACTTAGCAGTCCCTGGTACCATTCTAAATATGGCACACAAGGAGAGCCAAAGCGACAGGCGCCAAGCTGTACCAACCGCCACGTAAGAGCTTCCTCCAAGTGGACACAGCAGGGCTGCTTATCTTTAGAGACGACTGTACCTGAGCCACAAAGTGACCCAGACAGCTCCCGGCTGCCTCACTGGTCCACCTACATGGTCTCCCTGGCTCTCATCCTTCCCCAGAGAGACAGAAGGAATAAAAAAGACTCGCCTCATTTACATGAGAAGGGTGCCGGGAACAATGCATACGCATATACTTCAGAGTTGCTTGCCAAACATCATACATGGAAGTCCTGACCTTTTCTACTATCTATTCCAAAGCAGGTGATTGAAGATGTCCTCCTGGCTTTTCATATAGGTGCACGCTCAGCTGATTACACCGGAACTTTATCCAGAACCCACACCCTTTCAAATTCATAGACTTGCTAAAGAAATGGAAATACGTGCTCTCTCTGGACTAGGCCTACTTTATGAAGACAATGAAGACCACTGACAAGAACAATGGAATAATAATAATAATAATAATAATAATAATAATAGCAGCAGTGGGATAATGCCCACACAAACTTCTCGACAAGCCTTACCCTCTTGGCATTTCTTCCAGAGAATGCACTCACCCATCCGTGCTCATGAGCTCCTTTATGACGTGACACATAGAAAAAGAATTCTGCCTACTACTTGTCAGAAGCCTATCCATATTTGCCCTAAATCTCATTAAAGTACATTTTGTGATTAAGAGTGGTATTTCAAATGCAGGGTAATTTACCCGGTAAGAGAAAAAAAAACAAAACAAAACAACAAAAAACCCAGACACTTAAAACATTAGTTCCAAGACTAGTCTACAGAAAGATAAAGAATAAGCATGGAAAATTATTTTTATAGGCTAAGTCATCAAAACTCATTCATATACTCTTCACCCACCCACCCATCTATCAATCTGCCTACCTACCTAGCTACCTAGAGTATAAATTCAGCTAGTCTTGGCAATAAAGGCCCAAACAAACATCCAAGTGAGGTAATGGCATGGTGTGTGTTTGTGTGTGTGTGTGTGTGTGTGTGTGTGTGTGTGTGTGTGTGTGTGTGTAAGGGGAGAAATATAGTTAGTGTTTCCAACAGCAGTCACTCTAGAAAGCTCTTGACCTTGTCTACATAAAATGCTGGCGCTTGCTTGGTTTACATTTCTTGATAAGACTACCATACATCAAGGGCAATCCTTACTTTTGTCTTAAAGGATTTATTTTCATTTTTGCCTATATGTATTTGTATTATGTCTATAGCAGTACATTCCACATGAGCGTAATGCCTTTTGAAGCCAGAAGTGGGCATCAGGTCCACCTGGGCTGGAGTTGGAGGTGGATCCTGGCAACTGAACTCTAGTCCTCTGCAAGAGTTTATGCTCTTAACTGTTGAACCATCTCTCCAACCCAACTTTTGCCTTTTAAGGAATGACCCAATCAGAGTGCACACCAAAGTTAAAGTGCAAGAAAATTAAGGAAAACTACTAGAAGCTAGGCATTTTCTACCTCTCTAGACATTTTCATGTCCCGGCAAATCTAGTCTCATAACTGAAAGAAATCAGTTAGTTAATTTCAAAATCTTCCAAAAATCTGTTTGAACCAGAAAGTCATAAGGCATTTAAAATATACAGCACAAAATGTGGGTTGCAAAACTGTTAAATGGTTTGGGTAGTCTTCTTCTCCATAGATGCATAGGAGACGCAAACTGGAGGCGACTGCTAACAGACACTAGTGACTCTGCCTATTTCCATGGCTTCACATCTGCAAAGTCTTAAAGGCACCAAAGTGGAACCATTTATGAATGTGCTTCCCTGATTGTGGAGGGATAAGAGGGAAAAATGGGGGAGGAAAAGGGGGGGTGGGAGAGAGAGAGTCAATCTCTGGAGAAGGACAGAGGTTGGGAGGCATTGTGTGCAAGAGCAAACGGGCCTTTGTTTCTTGACTGTCCAGGTATGTGCGTTTTACTTAGTAATTAAATGGCAGCTGAGTTTGATGGATGGAGCCTTTCTCCCAGCTCCTGGGAGGCCGAGGAAAGAGTCCTGCAACTAGGCCAGCTCGAACTCCAGCTACAATTCTAGGCCAACCTGGGCTAAAGGAAGAGACCCTGTCTCAAAAATAACAAAACAAAAAATACAACAACAAGGGCCCTGGCATTATTTCTATAACAAGAAATGAAAGTTTAGTTAAATGTATTTAAAACAAAAGAGGAATAATTTGTAGATCATCTGGAATTGGTTTTCTTCCTTTAGCCCCCCCCACCTCCTCTGGGGGCATGTAAGAAAGATGGTGAAGCCTGGCACATGTGTGGGGACCAGTTCACATCTCGCTGGGGCGGGCTTTCTCTCATTTCCTTCCCAGAGCTATGTGCCTGGGGCTGGCAGAAACTCGATTTCTCCTCTCCACCTTGCAGCAGGAATGCTAGGAATCAAAGGTAAGTGTTACCACACCTGGCTTCTCTGTGGGTTCTTGTGAAGCTAGCAGCTTTACCCACAGGCCCATCTCCCTGGCCTTAGGATGAGCTTTCAATGCAAATTCTAAGCCTAGTTTAGCAGCCACTAAAACCGCTTAAGTTTTACCTCGGTTCAGTGGTTTGCTGATTTGAGGAAACATTCTTAAAACATGTTATGTCTCTTTTGAATATGTGCATTTAAAACTGCTAGGGAGTAATCCAAATGACCAGGCACACAAATATATATCTACTATAAACTCAGTGATCATAGTAAACAATCTATTACTAAAAAAATGTTAAGCACCTACCACCTTATAAATGTAAGTGTAAAGATACATTTTGTTCATATGTATTTCTTTATATATATCAGAAAAGGTTCTCATCAGAACATGTATGATCTTAAAATTCCAGCACTACCCACCTCCCTCATGAACACCAAGGAAATAACTTCCTTCAAAATAATACTTTAGACAAAGATGGTAATACAATCCCAGCACCTGGGAGACAGAGGTAGGCAGAGCTCTGAGTTCTAGGCTAGCCTGGACTACATAAGACCTGTTTCAAAAGAAAGAGAGAGAGGAGAGAGGGAGGGAGGGAGAGAGAGACCACCTTCATAGACGAGCTCTTTGGAAGGAAACAAACTCCTTTATTGATAGTTCGTTCATGATACTGGCCTTCAAAGCTCAGTTCTACTATACACAAGGGACCATTGGATTAAAGACTGGAATAACAAGTCCTAGAGTTATGATAGATTACTGAAATTGGGTTATTCCCTAATTTCAAGAAGAATGTAATGGGTGGTGGGTGATTGTCAACCGGACAGGACATGTCACCAAGGGGCATGTCTGTAGGGGAGTTTCTAGACAGAGGAAACTGAGATTGGAAGACCCGCCCTGCGGCCTGGGGGCCTGGATTAAACAAAAGAGTGAGCTGAGAATCAGCACTGTGGCTCACCGTGGCTGCCTCATCCTCCAGCCACAAACCTTCCGGGACAAGATGGGCTGTGCCCTCCAACTGTGACCCAGAACAAGCCCTTCCTCCCCTAAGGCGCCATTGTCAGTCAGGTGTTTTGCCCCAGCAAGAAAAGTACCTGGCCGGGCAGTGAGTGGTGGCACACACCTTTAATCCCAGGACTCGGGAGGCAGAGGCAGGCGGATCTCTCTGAGTTCGAGGCCTGCCTGGACTATAGAGTGAGTTCCAGGACAGGGTCCAAAGCCACAGAAACAGGAAGGAAGGAAGGAAAGAAGGGAGGGAGGGAGGGAGGGAGGGAGGAGGAGGGGAGGAAGGAAGGGAGGGAAGCACCTGAAACAAATAATCCTGATAGACACTTAGATGCCCTCAACTGAAAACACTATTTTTAGATATAATAATAGAACGCAAGCATACACACAACTTACACAAGCTTCAGAAATCAACAATGGCAAACACAACTGAAGAAGCATCGCCCCTAGATGTAAATAAAATAAAATGTCCTTCCAATCAAAACCTAAGCCAAATGCACATGGCTTCTGTTTCAGGAGCAGATGAGGCAGTTCATGCATTCGCCTTGGAAATGCTAAGTTCAAAGCACATCTTACCCACTCCTTCACACCGGCCCTTGGCTGAGCCTACCAGCTGCTGCCCCTGAGTGCCAGCCACCCCACATGGCTAATGAGTCCTTCGTACCCAGCTGCTCCCTTCTGGACTCGGTTCTCTGTTCCCGAGCACAGAGAGGGTCGCCAGGGCCTCCTTTCACACGGTCCCTGAGCACCTGCCATAGTGCACCGCCCACTTTCCAGCCCCACCCCTTCCCAAGACAGTAGGAGGGTTCGGAGAGGAGAAGCTAGGCCTATTTAATTTATCTTCTAATTCTTGGGTCTAAAAAAGGACCTGGTACACAGTAAACATTCAAGGGAAAAACTGCTGAGATATGAAAACTAAGCCAACACCAAAAGTTAAAGATACAATGCTCTCATTTTACAATAATAAGTGTGTACTTAATGAAGCAGATAGTTATATAAATGTAGATGCATCAGTAAATAATAATGCTTTGGTATAAAACCCTGAAGTACTTTTACATCAAAATGGCACATATGAGTTGGGGTGTTTCAGGTCTGTAAGTTACTGAGGACCATCTGTGTTCTAAAGAGATTAAACAACACTCAAGTGAGTATTTATATCAGCGTTCATCAATCTCCAACTTTCATGTTTCACCAAAATTATGACAAAAGTAATTATACATACTCTTTTGCTGTAAGTTTCACGAATTAGGTTAGAGATCAAAACAAAAATAGGGGCCTTGCAATGCTTTTAAAAATTAATATACACTAGTGACTAGAATGAATTCAGTGAAAGAAAAATGAAGCGTGACAGTGCTTCTAATTAGGAAAGGAACTCTTATTATTTTCCAGTCCTAGTACTTTGCAAATGGTAAATTCCCACCCCATCAGCTGGAAGCCTAAGGTCCACACAGTTTTTAATGAAATCTCAGTATAGTCTGCATGGTACAGCAGACAAAGCAAATGCCTGTTTTTAGGTACAGCTCCTTGAGTTGAAAAGCAGACTTTCTGTATCAGACAGTGATTAGATCATGTCCCAAGGTTGCAGCCATGCTGGGAGTGAGGTTTCAATTCTTGGAGAAGCCTTACCTAATCCTATCCGGTTAGGACTTGTTTCCCGGCTACATCCCTGACTCCTGGGGATCTTGCTTCGCTTTTCTGAAGACAGAGTTACAGGTGGGCCTCTGGACGATCCCCCAGCAAGTCCACCATAGCCACTTCCCAACAGCTTCCCAGGGGAACTCGACCGGCTGCCAGCTAGAAGGGAAACAAAATGATGGTGAGGGCCGGCTGCAAATCAGGTGACAGTTCATGGTAATTAAAGAAACACGTTTTCACACGTGAATTTGCCCGAACCATTAAGAAGTTTTACATAAAAGTAGCATTACTACGGTCAGCTAACATATTTGCCTAGAAGGCCCATGAGCAAACTCTGAAAGCGGAGGCGCAGTTTCTAATGGGAAAACTGAGTGCCACAAGCACCCTGCTCCAAAGCACAGCTCTACACAGGACCGGAGGCATCCGCAAGCACTCTCCCACTAAGCACACTCACAGAAATACGAACACGATAAAAGTCCTTAGACAGTAACATAGGGAAAACGGGTTTGAGAAAATGGCATTAATCTAACAAATGCAGAAAGACATGGGGGGGAAATGACTAGAAATGGTTTTGAAAAAATATCCCAGAGTAAGATGGTACAAATAAGCTTAACCCTATCAGTGCTGTAATGGACGTGGCTGGACACCACTCATCTATTAAAAGACAGGAAGTTTTCGGTCGACTTTTGTTGTGCTAGCCAAGTGCTCTACTACTGAATGAGCTACAACCCTGGCCTCGAACTGATGAAAGGAATAAATGAAGTGATACTATATACTATTTGAGTCAAATAACACACTTAAAAACAAGCAGCAACAACAACAAAAAAGCACAAACACTGGTAAAAGGGTAACTGACCACAAATATAATAAATACAAACTCCAAACAATATAGCTTTGAAGCAAGAAAAAGATAAGAATATATAGAGAGATGGGAAAACCCATCACTATTAAAAGACCCTATAGAAAACCTAATAAGCCTCAGGAAAAAAAAAAAAAAAAAATGGACGGAGCCAGCAACCAAACGTGTGCACAGACAGTTTGATGACAAGCATGTACAGGACACATACAACCATGAGTTACAATGACAACTCCTCTGTTGGCACCAGATCACACATACAGCCAGTCCTGCCCGTGTTCCCGGGTGAGGCTGTGGCCAGCTCAGTTTGTGTCACTGCACTCAGCTACCTAACATTTCATAAAGTGTGACCTCACATGCAAACCCCTTGTGTATATCCCAAAGCACTGTTTTCGTTTTTAACGCCCACATTTTATGAATGTTAGCTGTGTACTAAACCTCAAAACAAATCTCAGAAAACCTGAGGAAAAAAAAAAAAAAAGGAAACCACATGGGCCATAATCCCTGAGAAATATGCAAGAAAACCAGAAACCAGAAATAAGTGATAGGACTGCTAAACTTTATTAATGGCTAAATATCCAAACATGGTTATAACCATTTAATATAGGACAGAAGTCTCTCCTTGAAAACAGCAACATTTTAAGTAATATACACAAAATGACAGCCGCATAACAGATTATCTCCCTAAGTAGAGAAGGCAGTAAAATTTTAAAACATAAAATATAAAGTATTGTGATGCATAACCAAAAAAAAAAATCAAAAAATCTCTTTTGAAACAACACTCATTCACAAAGTATTCTTTCTTACAGAATAAAGACTTTAAAATGTATTTTACAATATGTCTCAAAAGTGTACTTCATATATTAAAGCTATCACCACTCAAATGAGTCACTTGGTTGGCTGCACAAGAAAATTAATACCGAACATTGATTAAACTATATGTACACAATTTGCAAAGGAAATCATGGTAAAAGTCAGTAATGCACATTATTATGACGACGTAGCCCGAGACCTGAACATGAAGTAAACTATTAAGCTATGTCAAGGGCAAAAAGAAACGCATTTCAAACTCTAGTATTTGGAAATACAGGAAGATGCAGAAAGAGCAAGCATGAGCAGAGAAATTAATACTGTGCAGGGAGCATGGCTGAGGCAGGGTGCCAACCACAACAGATAAGCAACAAGAGAAATGGCTTACCACCAGCAGGGTTAGCAGATCTGGATCCTTCGTTAGGAGAGCAGACCAAAGGACAGGCAAGAAGTGGATTAAAAGACAATAACACAATACGGAAGGTCAGCATGCGACACAGCGTGAACGGCTTATTCCCAAGCACAGCAGCAAAACCGCCCCAAGCGTGTTCTGCTTTAACGCACAGCACACGGTTTTAGCATCTGTCCCATGTCTGCGTGTGAAACACCATCTATAATGAGCCAAGCTTAAGAGATGTGGAGGAGACAAGCCCTCTGCCTCTCCCAGCACACCTCTCAGCTTTCAGCAAGAGGGAAACAAGCAGAACTGGGTCACCTGTGCCCACCCTGACCTTTAACAAGATGCCAGTGGCCGGAAGAACACAGCTGTGGACTGTTTTCAACCTTGACTATCTATGGCTTTCCTTATCTGAAATATCTAACATATTTCAATCCTTAAGGGCCCTAAATCTATGAATGTCATATGGGCACACTTATAGTACAAATATATTTACCTCATTCAAATCATTATTAAAGTAATGAATTTGTAAGTGTGAGCCTGAGGTGTAGGCTCAATCGTGTGCTACTATTTAGCGGCTTCCATTCCTGTGAGTACATCAGGTCAATGTGGAAGTGAGGAGCCTGGAAGGTCGGGTTCAGGGTGTTCCCCAGTTTTGAGATTAAGTGTGAATCCCAGGGGAGCGATTTTCACCTCTTTCTAAGTCCAGGTGACATTTGGAGTTCTACAGCCAGAGAAACACAGCACTAATCCAGCTGGGGTGGGGAACCCAGCAGAGGCCACGGTCAAGAGCTAACAAAAAGGAAATGTAAGATTCCTCTCAACTCCCATTCCCCACAGGAAATCATACCGCAAAACGGATTATATGACAGGTAAGTTTTGACCTGAGAAACTTCAAGATGGGGAGTGAAAGTGTATTTTAATGTCTTAACGCTATCAACGTGTGTGTGTGTGTGTGTGTGTGTGTGTGTGTGTGTGTGTGTGTGAGTGATAATAGTTCTTGAGTGCGGATGCGTGTGTGGAGGCCAGAAGAGGATGTCGGGTACCTTCTAGAACTACCTTCTTTTTTTGGACAGGGTCTTTCACCGGACTCCGAGGCTCACCAGTTAGAATGGCTGAGCAGCAAGCTCCAGGGATCCCTACGCCTTCAACCCCCCCCCCTCCCCGTACTGGGATGGCAGCATGCTTTTTATGTGGGTACTGGAAATCCAAACTCAGGTCCTCAAGCACTACAGACACAGTCATCATCTACCCAGCCCGTGAAATAGGAACCACCTGGATAGGAGACCAAAGCGTGCTTGGAATGCTCCATCTTGTAAGCCTACCTTAGCAGTGTGGTTAGTGTCCCAGAGCCGCTGGTGGTCTCTGTCCAGCTGTGGGACCTGCTACTAAGAGACGCTAAGGAAACGAAAACATAAAGCACACTGCTTACGCTGAGACTGTGAAACCACTTTGGCGCGACTGCGGCCCCGACTATCCGAGGGTGTGGAGGCGACATTGGTGGCACTCCCCGAGCTTTGCCGTCTCGTGCGGATCCGACCTGGAGGACACAGCAAAAACAGTGTTTTCATAACATCTTCGGCCAGTGTGACCCACACAAGAACCCTCACCCACAAGCACAGGGCACTGATGCGGCTGACCACGCAGGGAGCAGGGGCTTCTGTCAGCCAGGTCCCCCATGAGAGGTGAAACACCAATGTAACCACAGCAGGATGAGCAGGGTTGAGTGTGGCTTTGAACTCCCAACAAGGCTGCTCTGGATTCAAGGAGGTACAAAATGCCCTTCTCCGCGAGCCAGCTAGAACTGGCCATGACTGACGCCTTCCCAGCCCAGGAGACGAAGCTTGCAGAAGAAGGGATGCAGAAACAAGCCCTGAGGTTTGAAGAAGGTTCAAGAAAGTGCCACATCAGGGTGGAGGGGAAGCCAGAGACTTTTAGTAAAGCTGTAAAAAGATTACAAGCTGAGTACCGTGGCACACCCTGTGATCCCAGGACTTGGAAGGTGAGGCAGGAGGATGACGAGAAGTTCACACAGTGAAGTTTGAGGCCCACCCGGGCTACATTTACTACTGGACATTTACTAAAATTATTGACTCTACTGAGAACTACGATCTCTGTCAAACCAGAATCTTCACAGCAGTGTATGGAAAGGAAAGAGCCAAACAGGGAGAAGTCTGTCCAGTGTCCACTCGCCTGGCAGAGGTGCCTGTCCAAGGCCAGCTGGCTGCCCCCCAAAGTACCTCTGCTTTCTGTGAGGGCACCCAGCAAAACACGAGAAGGCAATCAGGCAAAATGAACATGAAAAAACAATCTATTTTAAAGTGATTACCAGAATAATACTTAGGACACACACACACACACACACACACACACACAATGCCCATCTATACCCATGAAGCTTGAAGAATTAAATCCCTCTTGGAGGAGTCCCATTCCCCAGCAATTGGTAACACAACCCTAAGGCCAGTGCTCAGGACTCTCAAATTCTTTTTTTTCCCCTGTAGATAAATATATTTGCATGATCAAGACACATATGCCATTGTTTTGCTTAATGAAAATTAAAATTGAATTTTAAAATGATAACTATATTGCATTACTCAACAACGTATTTATGAGTACACTTGTGGAATGTATTTTTCATATGTGCCAAGGAGAAATTATCTTTTCTATATGACTAATTCTCGAATAAATTTTCTCAGATCTTTTCTTATAATTTACAATGCCGCTCTCTCTCAAAGCTCTACTTCAGTTTCTAGACTCAGGCAAGGGTACTTTAATTACTAAAAGTACTTTTAGGTTTTAGTGTGTTAACAGATAATGTATCATTCACATAGACATGTGTACACACACACACACACACACACACACACACACACACACACACACACACACACACAGTTTCTTGAGACAGCCTTGCAGTCCAAGCTGAGCTGGTATTTGTAATGTAGTGGCCTCAAACTTACAGCAATCTTCCTGCCTCAACCTCCTGAGTCCTGAATTTACAGTCCTCATGCCACCATACCTGGCTTTTAGACATTACATATTGACCTTCAGTTTAGAACTTTTGCCAGACTTTTTAAAATTAATTTGTATATAGAACTTGGGTTATCTAACCTATAAAATAAGCCAGCCATTATTTTTTTCAACTTACACATTTTCACTTATTTGCCTTTATTGCGCTGTCTTACTCGTGTAACAAAAATAGCCGTAGCAAAGCAGCACTGTTGACTCAAAAGAGATCTTTAAAAATGCTGGGTGTAGGGGTACACCCATTGACAGACTGCACAGGCAAGGTCTGGGGCTCAGTCACCCTCCCCCGAAACACACAGGCTCACACATTCATGCATACAAAATGGCCTCTTGTCTTTTCCCAGTAAAGTTGCCTTTTGCTGGCCAGGGATGCAGGTGAATAAAACCTAGTGTACTGCAGAGTCACGATAGTGAACGCCCACAGGCCCCAGGGTTCAGCCAATGACCTTGGTTTAGCCAGCCTTGCTACCTTCTACCTGGACCTTGCAGGCATCACGTCTGGAGCTGGGTGGCTACATTGCTTATTCTAGATTGGCAGTGTGTCCTCAATCAGAAGGATCATTTTGGCCACTACAGTCTATGTATTTCACTCATGCACACACACAAAAAAAAATTAAATTTCGTGTTTCTTTTGAACACCTTGAGTAGGTATTTTATATTCCACAACTGACTGTAAAGTCCTTCAGGGTTTATTCTGTTTCCCTTTCCCTGATGCCTCATACATGTAGTGTCTTCAGCCCATACCTGCATATGTGGCACAAGGAAAGCCTAGCAGATAGGCCTAAGAATAGATCCTTCTGGGAAAATTCAGTGTCCCCACAGGACCTACAAACACAGACCACTTAATTCTACAGCAGGCGGGTGTCTCAGATCCCACAAAGGAGATGGAGATGTCAGCTTAGTGTATGTACAGAGCTCAGTCACAAAGGCTAAGAGAGGACTGTTTGCTCCATCAAGGACACTTGACGACAGCAAGGCCATCTGAAGAGTTTTTCTGTGTGTACCTCTTTAAGGACATATGGTCCCTTGTGGATGCTGGTTGGCTTCGAGCCAGTGCCTTCACCTTTGGTGAGTTCAAGGTCTTATTTTCCATGTGCTCTGGCACTCCTACTATGCTACAGGAGTCACGTGGAAAGGGCCTCTGGCTTTTTTTTTTTTTTTTTTTTAACTTTCTTTACTTTTGGGGGGGGTAGCTACATAGTTTGAAGGGCTTCTGGTGTGCTGTGTTCAGATATGTGTCTACTTCATAGGAAGAGGAACTGGCTTCTATGATAATTAGTTGGCAGTTATAAGTGCCTGGATATGTTTTAAAGGAAAACCACAAAATGTTGTGTGGTCTTCAAGAGAATCACAAGCTACTGCACCAAACACAGCAAACCGTGAGAACATACTCCCACTGTGTACCATGATTAAATGACTGACAGAGAACCATGAGAACATACTTCAATTGTATACCACGATTAAATGGGAAGAGACAGAACATGTATGAAAGGGAGCAAAGCCAGCCTAAGTAAGAATAATAAAAATAACTAAATAACTGTGTAACAATGAAGGAAAATTATAGACTTAAGAGGAGCCAGGGATGCACAAAATATAGATATATAAATATAAATAAATATGTATATATACATATACATGTATGTATACATATACATATATACAAATATACATATACATACATATACACATACACGTATATACATATACATACATATACATATATACATATATATATATATGACCAGAAACGAGAACCAAGGACTTTGGGAGGAGTTAAACATTCAGCTTTCACAGAATCAAGGAAGAACATTCCAATTTCACTTGTGTTTTTATTCTGTGGGGAAAGACCCTAAAACATGGGAGCCTGAAGCTGTGTTCTAAATCTAACTTACGGGAATGGTTCTCAATAGTCAATTCAGCCCATATTTTATTTATTTATGTGGACCCATAAATAAACGTGGGGGCTATGAGAAAAATGAGCAGTAAAAAAGTTGATGAATAGTCAAACCAAAAATTGGAATTCAAAGTAAAACTCATAATGAAGCCTCTGGCAGCACTCACTCGTCTGACTATAGTTATGTTATAAGCTGTAATGTTTTCCTTTTCTTCTTAATAAGTGAACTCCTGCTCTTACAGAAACACAAGAAAGGTAAAGATTTCTCATATTTTCTTACTATCACCTCTCATGCAAAAATATTAGTCTGCCTGTGGAGTATATTGTTGAGAATGTCTGACTTGATTGATTGATTGATGTAGAGATTGCCTGATTTTAAAGATCATTCTTTGACTTGCTAGCTTGAGTTAGTTAACATCTGCTCAATGAATCTCAACTTGGGGTTAGGACAGAATTTGTAATGATTTTTGAAATGGCCCCAGCCACACGATGCGATCTTGTACTATGGGAAGTGGTGATCTATACATCAATCAATCAATTCTGAAAAGGGTTGACAACAGTCTGTGTTCTGCACCACCAATTATTCAGGCAAGATTTCATTCTTTGCAGACAAAATAAACAAGTACATTTGTGCTTTTATCTTTAATAAATGGTAACATTGTATACATGCCAAAGAATTGTTTTACAATGAAATTCTTTATAACTTACAGTACTTGTTTGGTCTATACACTTAGTGTAGATATCCATATACCCAGGGGCCGTATAGTCATCTCTTGGGTGAGTAGAAATCTCAGAAGCCTTGGCCATTTGAGCATGCCCAGCTGTTTTACATCTCACCTGCTGGAACACAATGAAACCAGCCTCTGCTCGTGCACAGCTGGCTCCCAACACAGCCAGAACCAAAGAACATGATCCCGTGTTGTTATTGCTACCTGTCTATCACCCCTACCTTCAAAAGAACCAAGTTTTTAAAAACAAGTGTAAGATTTTTACTTTTATAAAGAGACCTATTTTCAGTTGTAAAGAAAGGTCAATTTCTTAAATTCAGAGTTTTTAGACAAACAGGAACCAATATTAAATGCTTCTTTTCCAGCAAAATCAAACTAAAATTTAAGTTCTTTTTCCTGGATGAGGCTACATAATATTTTTTTTACTATAATCATAATTTAGCAAAAGTTAAGCTAACGTGTGTGTGTGTGTGTGTGTGTGTGTGTGTGTGTGTGTGTGTAGTTTAGGTGCATGTGAGTGTGTGTGCACATGCATGAGGAACCCTGAGGTTGACACAGTGTCTTCTTCAATTGCTCTCTCTATTACACATTGAGACGGTCTCTCAACTGATCCCAGAATTTGCTGATTCAGCTAGTGTAGCTAGCCAACTTGTTCTAGGCATGGCCATCTGTCTCCCATGCAGGCAGACCACCAAGTCCCGCTGACTTGTGCGTGTGCTGAGGTTCTGAATGCTGGTCCTCACACCTGCATGGTAACTGCTTTGCCCACACTGAGCCATCTTCCCCTGCCCCAGGTGACCTGACTCTGGCCACCCACCTGATCTGACTTTCTGGGTGGTGGCTGTTTTGACACAGGTCTCTCCCTGTAGCACGGGCTGGCCTTAAATTTGCAGCAATCTTCTTCCCTCAGCCTCTCAAGTGCTGGAATTACATTCCACACCAAGTTTTGTTCGTTTTTTTTTTTTTTTTGTCTCGGGGATTAGAGATTATAAAATATTAAACACTTATTTAAACAGATATTTACAGGCTCCCAGCTGGGAGTCTAGTTCAGTGGTCAAGTGGTTATCAGGAGCCAACCCTTTCACTACTGAAAGAGAAGACAGGAAGCACAATGATTTAAAAGAGACGGTGGAGGCCTGGGCACATGGCCTAGTTTCCCAAGCGCTTACCCAAGAACATGGATCCCCAACGTTAACATACAAGTCAGGCGGGCAGGGTAGCCGCCTGTAAATCTAGAGGCTGACAAGCTGGCTAGCTAGACTGGAGTCACTCTGGGTCCCACAGGAGACCTCATGTCAGTAAACAAGTTGGAGAGTGAATGAGGGAGACACTAGATGTCAACTTTGGGCCTTAACACAACATGCTCATGTACACTCTCACACACATGAATATGTGAATAAGGAAGAGGAGAAGAGGGAAAAAGACACCAGACGAGAAATTCTAAGGGTACCAAGTGGTATTGCCTCCTTACCCCCCACCCTATGCCTGAGACAGGACCTTACTATGTAGACCTGGGTGACATGGTCTATGCCAGGCTGGTCTTGAACTCACAAAGATCTACTTGCCTCTGCCTCTCGAGTGCTGGTACCAAAAGCATACCCATCATACATAGCTAACAGCTCCTTCTTATCACTGGCAAACATCACCAGCTCTGTGTTTCACAGCATGTCTGCACTGACACCTCTGTCCTCTGGGTACCATGACAAAGGACTTGGGTAACCCTGGTGCAAATACTACCCTCTTCCTGCAAAGCTCCCCACTGTCTCGTTCTTCCTTTTTTTCTTTCTTTATTTTTTTTTTTATTTTTATTTATTTAATTTTTGAGACAGGGTTTCTCTGTGTAGCCCTGTCCTGGAACTCACTCTGGAGACCAGGCTGGCCTTGAACTCACAGAGATCTGCCAGCCTCTGCCCCAGACTGTTGGGATTAAAGGCCTGTGCTACAACCACCCTGACCATTCTCATTTTTCTAAAAACAGATCATTCCATAACTCCTGCCTGAAGGAAACCAGAAAGTGACTTAGTGCCTCACCCAGTAACTGAACAACCAATGTAACTTGGTTTGGTTCTGTATAATTGAGTAAAAAGAAAAAAAAAAAAAAATGGGGGAGAAAAAAAGTAAATAATTCTTTGGGTGGGGATAATAGGTAGATTTCAATTCTGTTATATAGGAAAAAATATTCTGGGGAAAAAAAAATGTTTCTCACTCTGGTTTGAATGAGAAATGACCCTCACAGGCTCATGTATTTGAGCACACGGCCTCCAGTGGATGATGCTGTTTGGGGACTTGCCGGAGGAAGTACATCACTGAGGTCAGGCTTTGAGAGGTTATTGTCTTCCACTTCCGGTTAGCTCTCTCTGCTTTGTGCCTGCAGAAGATGGGGTCTCTCAGCTCCCTGCCCACGCTTCCTGCCGCCCTGTCTTCCCTTCGGGAACTGTGACCTTCTGAGGTGTGATTTCTGACTCCCTGCTGCCAGGCCTCTTGCACCGTTATGGACTCTCCCCTCTGGAATCAAAAGCCCAAATCCCTTCTATTTAAGTCACTTTTTACCAAGGTATTTCATTACAACAGAAAAGCAGCTAACACGAAATTCTATTCTATTCTATTCTATTCTATTCTATTCTATTCTATTCTATTCTATTCTATTCTATTCTGGTTTTCCATTTTCCTTCCATGTAGGAAGAGGAAACATAGGATTGTTTCATTAGAGGACCAGAAACAAAAGTATTACCATTAGCGAACAAGAAAATAATCACCCAGCGTTGTAACCACACCCAGCCATGGCCTTTGGTTAACCCACATAAAAGCCTCAGCTGGGTAGAGCTTTGTTGACTGTCCTCCCATTTCACAAATCTGTCCAACCTTGAGATCACCGGCAACATTCCTTCAAGTTCAGGTTCTCTAGATCCTTCTGTCTTAATCAGCATCTTCAGAGTTATTTACCCAGGACACCTGCCTGCCTGCCTGCGTGTGTGTTTCTTGTAAACATTCATGTTAGTTCTTAGCATGAGACATGTCTGAGAAATATGTGCTCACACATATACTCCCACATGAACACATACCAATAAATAAATGTAATTTAAAAATTGTAACCCTGTTTCTCTCTTCTCCTTTCTGACTCCTGAGATCTAGCATGGCTGAGGAGGTTGCTCCGTTGGCAAAATGCTGGCTCAGCATGCTCAAATCCTTGGGCTCAACTTCTAGCCCTGATAAATGTGGGTGTGGTGTGACATGACTGTAACCTCAGCCTCACTTGGGAGGATCAGGCCATAAGATCAACCTTGGCTAGGCAAAGTTTGAGGCCTGTGTGGGCTCCGTGATACCCCATCTCCAAACAAAGTGAAATTATACATAAGAATACTCTGCTGGGGCTGGGGAGTGGTTAAAGCTCTTGCCGTACAAGTGTGACAAGCTGAGTTCAATTCCCAGGGGCTGCGCATAAGGGAAGGGCAGAACTGACTCCCTTGAAAATTGTCCATCACTCACGCCATAGCATACATACCTAAACTCATACACGCACCATACACACACAGTAATAAACTTTAAAAACGCCAAAGAGCTACCCTGCTCAAACCTAGATCCCTCTACATGGTAGCCATTTCACAGTTACAAATTAAACAGGCTGTCCCTGATTGTTGAAGACATTGTCTGGAGGCCTAGCCACAGTCTCAAACCCGCAACACTTCTCTAAATGCAACTGTTGAAGAATTATCCTATTTTCTACCCAGAAATCTGGGGGAAGGATAATGCCGTCTAACACTTGCTAATCAGAGGTCAATGCAGAGCGCACCAGCTGTATCTCAAGTTCAAAGGACAAGGCAAAAGCTCAGCAAGAGCTTCTTAGCCTAAAATATAGATGGAGGGGATGTGGACAAACCCGTTTCTCTCCGTGGTGTGGACTGCGGCACTCAGCAGAGAAAGCTGTTAGCATGTGGCTGGTGGGAGGATCAATGTGCACAAATGAACAAGCGGGCACGTGACACTGACACAAATAAAACACATCACGTGATTCGGCAGTGCTCTTCAAAGGAGGGTAAAAAACGTTATCTAGAAATGTCTTTACAGCGCAGTAGAAAACCTCACTAGTCTTGAACCTGCGTACTTGACACAGACATTTACTTTCAAAACCAGAAAGATGAACCCAAGAGGCCCCACAAAGCACAGAGAAGAAAGCGTCGCTCGAGTGGGTGACGTCCAGTACTCCTCCCCAGCGAGTCTCAGCATCGTCACCGCCCTCAGCACACTTCAGTGCCCTGATCCACCAGAACGAAGACTAAACAAGAATGGGGAGTGAACTGAGGGAGAGGGAGGGCCAGGAGCCGCTGGAGACAGAAGGAAAAAGAAGGTGAGGACATCGTGCAATGCATCATGCAGGGGCCTCAGTGGGGACGAGTGGGCACCAGAAAGCACTCGGTGGGGACAGAGGACCAGAGAGACACACACCTCAATCACAGAAACAAACCGCTTACCCTCCGCTTTAGTGGAAGTACCGTCTTTACGCCAATTAAAAAACAAGGGAGGGGACAACAGGGAACAGTTAGTGACATTCAGAAAATTAAAACGCAGAATGTTATTAGCTACTAAAGAAAAAAGCAAAATGTACACTTTAAAACAAAGCCAAAAGGGGAACACGGTCAAAGGCAGAGCGGAGCTGGAAGCCGGCCTGAGTGTGCCCTCGCCAGGAGTTAGCTCAGCCTGGAGTAACAGGGTTTGCCTTTGGAAAGCTAACAGAACAGCGTCCACAGCTGCTGCGTCACAGTGGACAAGCGTGACTCGGGACCTCCGCTTTGTCAACTGCATCATCCTCGGAAGTTCCCAGTCCCTGAAAGTTCTAGCAGGACAGGGGGCGTAGAGGAGCAACTAGTTCAGGTTCTAAGGAGTCACCCCAAGAGCAGAACCCAGTGAGAAGCTGAGAACACTGTAGCGAGCGAGGCCTATCCCAACTACACGCCCAGCAGCGGCAGCTGTCGAGTAGAGTACCTGCATCCAGGCCTACGTATTCCAAGTCTTCCCTCACGTGTCGGGACTCTAGAAGTTTGGAAAATGGTTATAAGCCTTTAATGCACGTCAAGTGTCTCGGTCAACGTCTAAGTGGGCCCTGAACGTAGTCTCGAAACTATCTACTACTTCACCTTCTTGCTCAAGTAGCATGTGGAGGAGGGGCGCAAACAAGGGACCTGGAGGGAGAATTCTTACAGGGAAGGGAGAGAACAGTCTGGGGAGGAGACCTGGGCTAGGAGAGTGTCCTCAGTGCTTCTGAGAGTGCACTTGTCTGTCACCAGACCAAACTCCCGGGGTTTTCCTCAGTACCGAGGGACTCTATCTAATCAGGCCCCCACTAAATACCCCAGATGTGTACAAGTAAATAACGACCCTGGGTATGCTACTAAAGGCTGGCGTGAAAACTGGCAAGCAAATGCTAACTAAAAATACTGAAGGGGGGGCCAGGCCCTCCGTGAGTTGGAGGCCAGCTTGGTCTACACAGTGAGCTCCAGGCTAGCTGGGGTTACACAGTAGGGCCCTGTCTCGAAAACAAACAAATAAATAAATAAATAAAAATAGAACAAACAAACGAACAAAAAACCAAAAGTAAAAGTAGATCAAAAGCATTGACACCCTGGTAAATACTTAGATCACAACTCGTTCTCCGTGGGAGGGACAGCTGTTGCTCTTCCCTTTTCCAAATATGACAAAACACCTCCTTAAGGCTCGCACGTTAATGGTACAGTAGTGAGCAGGGGGAAGACAATATCTGAGCTCGGGGACACGTGCTTCCAGGACATACACTGTCGCAGGTTAAGGGTGCTCTTATTTCAGTTCTACTTTCTTCTACCTTGAAGGGCAGTTGTTTACAAAGGCCCTTCAGGTAACCCTCAACATGTGCCTGAGTCCCACCGCTACCATTACCACAAGGTCGATGGCAAAGAACAGACTCTAGGCTTGTCCCCTGTCACCATCTTTGGCTGCCGTCCTGTCCCCATGCTTCCGGTCTCAAAGCCTAATGGGCTCTGTGAGTAACCTGGGTCTGGTGCTCTAATTAAGCTAAGTCTCGGCTTTGGGGGTTGAATGACTAACTCAACGCTTACAAAAATATACACCACCAGCCTGGCACGGAGAGGCTACTCAGTACCAGCTGACAGGATGAGTAAAGCACCTACCATTACGCGGGATACCAAAAACTTGGAAAATAATTACGAACACCCCTTTGGAGCGGTCTTCAGTACGGGTGTGCTCCCCTCAAGCAACGTGGAGGGCGGAACGTTTGCACTGCTGTGGCTTAGTTGACTAAAGGTCATTTAGAAGCCTCCTGTCACCCCCCCCCCACTCTAAGAGACACTCAACTACAGGAAACGTGAGTCCCCACTGAGCCATCAGGCTGTTCCCACCAGTAGGAGGGGGACAGCCAGTGCTGGCGATATGGGCGGTGGCTTGGGTACGTACAGGCAGGACTCGCTGTGGGAAAGACGGCAGGAGGTCCACACAGCCTGAAGGCACACAAGTCCTTACGGAACAGGCTGGTGTCCCAGAGAAGAGGGCCCCTGGACATGACACTGGACAGCTGGGAACGATCCCTGAGCGCAGTTCCTTATACTTCAGACCGCGCTGCTGCTACACAGAGGGCTGTAATCTGCTGAGAGGCTGGGTCACTGGGGCAGCGCGACAGGAGGGGGCCTGCTTACCTAAAGATGCATAGGACCCAGGAGGCAAGGCTGCCGCAGAGCTGAAGGCCGTGGAGCCTGAGGAGGAGGAGACTTTGGATTTGGCACTGGCTGCTGCATTCACGTCAATGTCACTTCGCGACCGCTGGAGGGATCCTGTCGTCGACACAGATTTGGTACTGACTGTAGAGGCTATAGGGGTGAAGGAAGAGAAGTCAGGAAGCTCCCTGTTTCATGCTGCTGCTCGGCTTTTCTTAGAGACAAATGCTAAAGGCTGTAATACATGTCGGTGACCACAAGAGGGAAGAAGCACCTCACCGTCCCAGAGATGGGTTCATGCACAGAAAACCATAGGAAAAAGCAAAACTACAGGTCTAAGGTTATGGCCCACATATGGAATAAAGTAAGTGTCTTCATTTTGCTACACCGTCTCTGGAAGCACACCCTTTACCAGCTTCTACTAGCCAGCAAACTGCTGCCCTCACTCTCCATTTATGAGGCTGCAGAGGCAGGGAGGAAGGAGAGGTCACAGAGCCTGACCTCTGCCCGCCTAGCCTTCTGCGGAATGTGCAGCGGAGCCCTGCTGAAGAGTCCCAGCGGATGGCAGAGTACAGGGCATGGCTCTCAGCTGAGCGGGGCTGAGAACAGGCCACAGCCTCCTGTCCCTGCAAGAAGCCTCGGGGGATGAGCAGGCCTGTCCCACGGGGCTGGGACAGGCCTCCCATGGATGTGATGCTGTGGCACTGTGGCTCTTACCTCTGGATGTGGTGCTGCCGGTAGGACTTCTCTTGGCAGAAAGGGGCCGGCTGCAAAACGCATGCACATGTATGTTACCAAACATGTACTCTGTCTGTAGTGACCCAACTACAACAACGAAGTGTGCCCTTCAAGAATTTTAGGATCTTCAGAACTTTTCCAGCAACTCATTATTTCGCCAACCCCACGCCTGACAGAGCGTTAACACTGTCTGGGATGAAATGTCCTTTCAAACAGAACAAGGCATGCTACCAGGCGGAGTCCCATGTTTTGAGTGCCTTCCCTTTGCAAACCTGTGTCTGGGCAACACTCACATCAGCTTGGGGACCCCCGGATGCATTAATGTGCACGGTTCATGATGCTCTAAAACTCGCTATGCTATGGCAGAGAAGAGAGTCTGTGGCAGAGTCCAAGGCCAAGTTTCTCACCGCCCAAACCGTACCTGATCTAGAACCAGTGTCTACCTTGACACCTGGGGAGCTTTAGCCGTTCATCAGGTGAAGACACAGCCAAGAAGTGTGTGTCTGTGTAGCCCGCCTTACACACACAGCAACGCACTGTGGCCAGCAAAGCCCAGGCCCTTACTTGAGGCTCTCCTGAGAGCTGGAAGAAGATCGGTCTGATTGAGGCAGGGACACAATGCTGTCCGAGTTCTTCAAGTGGGTCTGCAGGGCCTTCTGGTAGGAGGACTCCAATGTGTGGTACAGGTGCTCTGCTTCTCGGCTGAAGTGACTGTGGAAACCCCAGTAGCATCTAGGAAAAAGACGAACCCCGGTCCAGTCAGAGCACCCTGCTGAGCCCAAGAATACCTAAGGCGGCATGGCTGGGATTCGAGGCCTCCACTTACCTGCTAAGTGGAGCAGAGAACTAACAAGGGAGGCCTCCAACAGACCCCGCCTTTGCAACCTACAGTTTAGATCTAAGAAGCCCTTTGTTTGTTGACGTGGCTGTGGGGTAGAGGTGTCTCAGCACACATGTGGGGACAACCGTGGAAGCTGGTTCTCCCAGGGACTGAACTCAGGGCAGCAGGCTTGGTGGCAAGCGCCTTTACCGGCTGAGCCATCTTGCTCCGTACCAGCTTCTGATGCTGGAGAAGTTACTTAACTTCTCTGAGCTGCTGTCTCGTTTACAAAATGGGAATGAAAGGTTCTAACTTGCAAGTCAGTAGGCCTCAACACCAAACCTTCTTGTAAGTCTCCTGACAAGTGATCTCCAGGGAGGTACTGGACTGAGGGCCATAACCACAGGGCTGAACACTGGGAGCCTGACACTGGACATTATCACCATGACAAACCAGGCATCAGTCAATCCAATCCCCCCCTCCCCCCTGCTCCTATGACGCATGCTCGCTAAGGGTCCATTGAATGTTTCAAACGTGATGCCAGAAGAGAATACCCTGTGGCTGTCTTCTCCCATGCTAATGTGTTAAGGGACACTGGGTTCCACGGCTCTCAACGGCTTAGGAGATGAATAAACAGTGGGAACCAGCCATACTGACTCATAACTTCTCTTAAGATAGAAAACAAGCCTCCTACTGCCAACCTCAGTTATTAATATTCCGTTCCCCTTAGGCAACCATCTGAAGAGCAAAACATCCACCAACGCTTGGAGAATGGTGCTGAGGTGGGCTTCTGGAGTCACGTTTAACAGGTGTCACTAACGAATACGGAAATCAGGGGGAGGGCTGAGAGGGACAATCCATGTGGTGGGAGTGAGTGGTAAGCTGGGTTCAGTAGGAACTTACTTTCTGGCTTCTATTCTTGCTTCAGAGTCGGCATCATGTATCCCTTTCTTTATGGTTTCAGCTAATACTGATATGTGTCTAGAGAGTGAGGAAAGAGAGTGGTAACAGTCATTCAGCCACACAACTTTCAGTGGGTCAAACAGGCTTGTGAAATCCACTTCAAAATAGCAGCGTGGGCCTGGTGGCTTCATGCCACAGGCAGTCAGTGAAAGCGCAGCGTAGAGGGTAAGAACAGGCCCCACCTCCTCCCTCGCCAAGGTCCCCTTCCCATCCCCGCCCTACTCTTGAAGGATGTGGGTCGACAGCACTGCCTTTAAATCCAACCATACTTATTTAGCTGTAGAAGACCAAAGGCGTTCTACGCTCTTCATACGTAAGCCACGTTACCCGGGGCCTGCACCTCAGAGTGCCTATTTCTTATCCCTTTGCTTTATTAAGAGAGAAAAACTGTCTTGGACAGGATAACACAAAGATTTCCAGGGGGAAAGTGGCCTGTGATGCACACATTATGACAGGAAAATCTCCTCAAACAATAAAGACAAAATTTGCGAAAACTACTGCCTCCATGACTAACGAACACCAGGCTTCTTCTGCAGGAACATTCAAGCTCCTGTGCTTTTCTCTGCTGGACGGCAGCCTCGGCTTCTCAAAACCAGGGCTTCTGCTCAGAAATCTGCGTAGGAGTTCAGGCTGAGTCTTAGTTTTTATCTCTATAGTCGCTGGGATGAACTCCCTGCGGTCTATTCGCGCTACGATGAAAAATGCTGGACAAACTATGATGCCCATTCTGGTGTGGCACGCCACTACCACCCATGGCCTCCAAACTGAGAAGCGCAGTTCCCAAAACTGACAGGAAGTAAAAATGTCAAAGAAAATGAACGGGCACAAGGTTGGTTAGAAAGCCTGACACAGGGCTACTTTAAATTCTGATATGTAAAAGTACCCGGCTGCAAACCGCCATAAAGACGATGGCTGCTCAATGATAGGAGGAATAAAAAAAAAAGCCTCAAGTGGGTGAAATCTCTGCAAAGTAACAGAAGAGGGTAGCTCTAAACCCTCACTAAGTTTGGGACAGAACTGTATGGATACTGCCCTCTACCGGATAATAATGGTAACGCATACTGCCAGCTGGGGGCATATCAGTTTTGTTTTATTTTTCATTAGCCCAGGTTGGTGTTAAACTCCCAATGAATCTGAGGATGACCTGGAACTTTTGATCCCCCCCACCCGCCCCATCCCTCACTGGTATTATAGGCACTGTTTATTTAAGACTGGGGATGGAACTCAGGGCAAGCACCCTACCAACTGAGCTACACAAGCCATAACATACTAGTATCTGGAAGGATGCTTTCCCTAAAGCTTCTGTGGTATGAAGTTGCTCACATCAGTAGAAACCACAGTCACTTAAGCATATGCTCGACTCACTCCTTACTTATTCGAGATGTGGTAGACCCCTTGCTGAGGCACTCATCCCCAGACTCTTAGGCCACAGAATGGTTCTGAATCCCAGAAGCTCACCTTTCTAGTGAATGTGTCTGCCATTCTTGTAATAGTAAATCTAAAAATTCAAAACAGCGTCTAAAACGTGGTGAGAAAGAAACACAACTTAGTAAGATGTCTGTTGGTGAAAATAAAACAGCTTTTTGCTTAAACCAATCAGTTTATCTTTTGAGCAGATAAGTTTCAGTTAAGGGGGTAAAACAGAAAAAGGAGAGGTAAGGAAGCAAAGACTAGGCCAGTGTTCTGAGGGACACACACACACACACACACACACACACGGACACACACACGCACACACAGACACACACACACGGACAAACGGACACAGACACACACACGCACACACAGACACACACACACATACACACACACACGGACAAACGGACACAGACACACACATACACAGACACACACACACACAGACACACGGACACACAGGGACACACAGACACACACACACTCCCCTCAATCTCTCTCTCTCTCCCCCTCTCCCTCCCTTCCAAGATATTAAGAACTTTAAAATATTTTTTAAGATCTTAATTGCGTATGTCTGTGTGTGCACACATGTTCACACATGCCAGAAAACTTCTTAGAGTCGTGGGGATGAACTCAGGTCCTAAGGCTTGGCGACAAGTACCTTTACCCATCGAACCATCTTGCCAGCCACAAAATGTTTTACTGACTTTGGACCAAGAAGCAGTTGTTATGGTGATCTTAAATAACAAGTTCAAATGTGAAACTATCCTGGAAGGAAGTTTGGTGCTCAGTTCCCCGTTTTTAGACACCCAAAGATAGTAAGAGAGCTTCCAATACGTACCTTCTAACTGCCACAGACTTAGAGGTACAGTTGCTTGTTATGACAGGGATTAGCCGAGGGATGTGTGTGTGCTGTGGAGAGGGGTAAAAACAGACGTGAGTACCTGGGACACAGGCCCGGAACAAGACGCAAAAGATCTGACCTCATAGCACGAGGACATTCAGTCTGAACTGCCAGTGCTCAAGAAGGAGACAGACGGCTTTGAAATGTCACACACAGGCCACTATAGAACCGGCAAAGCCACAACAGACAAGAAGAGGCGATAGGAATCAGTCTGCGGTCAGGGCAGCGTGAGGTAGGAGGCCTAAAGCAGAGTTAAGTGTGCATACATAGGGCCTCATCACGCTGAGCCATCCTGACAGTTTCAATGGAAAAGTACAATGGCTTTGGGTTTAATACCACAAGTAAGGGCAAACAAGAACAGTAAGAATGAAAATGATACTAAGTATCTTGTGGGGATTGAGCACATTCTGCAGACCTGTTTGTTTGTTTATTAGTGTGCAGAAGCCAGAGGGAACTTGTGGGAGCTGGTTCTCCCTTCACCATGAGGATTGAACTTGGGTCCTCAGGCTTGCTGGTAGGCAGCTGCCTTGAAGGTAGTGGAGATTCTTTCGAGCCTTCATGAACTAAGTGCATGAAGACACACAGGAGGGTTACTAACTCGGCCACTGCTCACCCTACAGGGAAGCTAGGAAAGTCGATGAAGTGATCGATCATTCCAGCTCCTCATTTGTTGCAATTATAGTAAAATGACTTTGAGGAAAACAGCAACCATGAGCACAAACAGCTAACATGGAAGGATGAACAGAGTGGTGGTAAGGAGACAAAAGCCAAAGGCTCTGGACGGTCAAGTGCTTAGAGCCAATAGCGGGTGAGTCAATGGTGAGCCCCTCAGCAACGATGAGCCAATGGCGGGTGAGTCAATGGTGCAGCTCACAAGGCACAGCACAAACCCTGCAGCTTTGAACACCGCCGTCCATGGGAAGGACACGCTGCACGTGCACACAGATTGCAATGTTACAGACCACCCTCAGGAGGCGGGCCTGCTACGTCCCACCAGCCCGCAGGATCTACGACTCCCATCTTTTACTGGTGGCCCCAAGGCATACTTACCCGAATAATTAGCCTAACAGCTACAACACCAGAAGTAGCCATAATTTTGGCACTGTTTGGGATTAAATTAAAGATAGTTGGCATAATGGCTTCAGCTCCATGATCAAACTTATTTCCCAGAACTGATGACAGATGCCTGCAACAAGAAAGGGCCTGCTGTGGTCACATTCTCACACACAGGGAAGCACAGAGCCTCTCAACATTTGACAGGCTCCCCACACCCCCAGACAGTCCTCTAGGAAAAAAAAGCCAAGGGCCGAAGACATCTTAAAATTGAATTTAAAAATGCACACGTACAGAACTTGGTACAGCCATCAGCCAACAATTTTAATTTCCAAACAAGTATTAAAAGAGCAAACGCCAACCCCACCAAGACCAAAGACGTTCTAACAACCATTTAGCACGGACACAATGCTTGCCCCTTTGTATCTTACTTTTGTTTTGCATAGAAGACATGATGCTCTAAGATCTGCCTAACTAAAACTTTATACCGTCGCAATACTTGCCAGCTGCTGTGGCCACTGCTTTAATATTCTGGCGCATATAAACATGGCGGTTAAGTTTAGCTGAAGCTAAAACAGCATTGTCGTCCTTTTGCTAAGCTTCTTTCTCTTTCTCCAATTCTGAGTACCGAACTGAGGGTTAGGCATGTTAGGCAGCTACTCTGAAACTAACGATACCCACGGCCCTGCGTTTACTTTATAGCACTGAGAGACAAACGAATGTCCTAATATGCAAGGAACCTGTAGCTTAAAAAGAAATCAAAAAAAGATCTCAAAGACAGGATTTCATTCCCCCCCCCCCATTAGTAGTACAATAAAGGCTTCAGAGATGCCAGGGTGGAAAATTTTAATTCAACACTGTACACAGCTGGGCAGCAACTACTCTAACAGTATAGACAGAAATGCTGAAGACCAGCTGGAGGTGACCCCACAGACACGCTCAAGCAGACAGAAAAGGGCTATGACAACAGTGTGGGTGAATGAATGTAACACGTGGCAGTCCTTACCCCAAGGTGATGCAAGCTTCCCGCACCACCTGAGACCGCAGGTCCTTAGCAGAGAGTTTAAAGGCTCCGTCCAGAAGGCGTAAGTGTTGAAAGAAGTTATCGTACTCAGCAGCCCCAGCCAAGAGCAATGACCTCATCTTTTTTAGCTAATGGGGCAGAGAAAAGTCAGATGTGGGAAACATTGCCAAACACTGAATCTACGTAACAAAAAAAAAAGCTGTCAATATAAGGTAACATAAAAGTTAACTGACAATAGGAACCCATTTTTAAAAAGGATGTGTGGGTGTGGGAGTGACATTTGTGCAGGCACCTGCTGAGGCCAGAAGAGGGCGCCAGATGCCCTACAGCTGGAGTTACAGGTGGTTATAAGCCAAGCTAAGGTCCCCTGTAAGAGCATCAAGGGCTTTAACGGCTGAATTTACATCTCTACCCTAGAAACTACGTTTGCAAAGATAATTTGGGCAACTATTACCTAATGTACAATGAACTAATTAAATCACAACTAAGACCCCATTTTAAATGCAGCACCCACGATGCATATGATTTCCTTAAGAAACACATACACACATTTTCGGTGTATGTGTGCACCTGCTCAACTCTACAAGGTCACAGGGGCACAGGAAAGGGCACTGGTTCCCAGAACCGGAGTACAAGCAGTTGTGTTCTTAACTGCTAAGCCATCTCCCTAGCCCTTAAGTTGCTGTTTATTTGCTTTTGAGACAGCGTCTCTCTACGTGGTCCTGGTTGTCCTGGACCTCTCCAGGGCAGCTTTCAACTCAGGTCTTCTGGCAGAGTAGCCAGAGCTCTTAACCGTAGAGCCATCTCTCCAGCTCCGTACAGGTGGTGATTTACGTATAGAGTATTCCTATGTGTGTAAATGAGTACCTAACCAGAACAGAAACATAGGAAAGCAGCACTCACGGCATTGACTCTCTGTTCCCAGTCATGCTTGTCATCTGATAGGATCTCTCTAATTTTGTTTATGGACTCCTCCAGGTCTCGGCTAGAGTAAATCTGGAAGCAAATTAATTTTTACTCAGCAGACAACAATGAACAGAATTGAGGTGATTTTTAAATATACGAAGTCAAGGAACAATAGTAAGGGAAACTCTCACTCCACATGAGGGATTCTCTGGGCATGCTCACCTCAGTGAGCCCACACCCACAATCAACCCCTACATTTGCTGCCACATGAAAGCAACCTTGCTTTGGACATCTTTTCTAGAAATGCAACGTGGGAGTTTGTGTACGAGAGAAAGAACACAACAGACAGTGATGCATTAGTTATTTAAAAAAAAAAAAAACAAACTTGTTACTGAATAGGTATGGTAGGGACAAGTGTCTCATGGTGCATTGCAACTTCTGGCAGTCACTCTTCAATTTCTACTATGAGATTCAGGAATCAAATTGAGGCCATCAGGCATCCTAGCCATCATCTAACAGGCTCTAAGGACCATCTTGACCCAGCCTACAACCATCTGAGAAGGATGCCTCAACTGAAGAATTGCCCAGATCAGATTGCCCGTGGGAATGCTGTGTGTAGCATCGTCTTGACTGCTGATTGGTGTAGAAGGACCCAGCCCACTGTAGTGGCACTGGAGCAGGGGCTACAGACTGTATAAGAAAGCTAGCTAAGCGTGGATCTCAGAGTAAGCCAGCGAGCAGCATCCTCCATCACGTCTAGTATACTTCATTGGCTGTTAGTTGATTTCCTAGGTAGAGATAGAGTTGTATGGGACAGAAAGCAGGCTTGACATTTACTTCCCGCCTTGAGCTCCCTCCCTCAAGGATGGACTATGACCCGGAGCAAGCCAACTAGATCCTCTCCTTCACTACTGCTTTGGGGCAATGTTTATCACAGTAACAAAAAGGACACCAGAGACCAGCTTCCAGGGCAAGCTCTTTAACTCTCATGTGACACCCAAATCTACTCCCTCATTAGTCCTCAATCCTACTGTGAGACCTAGCACTGAGGAAGAACCTGAGCCGTGGAGCCTGCCAGCTGATGAACACTATAGTCCCAGCTAGCACAGAGAGCTGCATGTGGCGACCTATCAAGTGATGCAGGAACTGACGGCGCAGTGCACAGGGAATCAGGCCCAATCAGAACAGAGGCTACAGGCGGAAGGCAGGCCCCAGCACTTCATTTGTTAAACGAGGCATCAAAGAGAGTAAACCACGCTTCTGTGAACCTTCTCTTGAGCTTTTGTAGGTGCTAAAACCTAGTTCACACATAAAGGTCATTTAAGAAGAAGTTCTTAAATATGCAGCTCTCTTCTCTAAATGATCAGCAACCGTCTCTTTTCTGAATGTGACAAACTAACTTCCTCTACAGAGACATCAAATAGGATCAAGACTTCTGATTTGTCCCACACGTACAGGGCTCCCACATTTTCTAATCTGTACCTGAGATCTATAGTCTTGACAATACATTGATTCTGCAGCGGGATCATGAGTCCCCAGGGTCCACTGTGTGAAAAGATTAGGAGCCAGGGGTTCCACTAACAAGGGGTGAGCTCTTTAAGGCCTTGGGTCACTGGGAGGCAATTCTGAGAGGGTTGTCAATGAAAGCTTGAGCTGATCCCACCCTGTCCTCTTTCTGCTGGTCTGACAGGAGCTGCCTCCTGTCCCAGGACCATCTACCCCACACCATGATGTATTATGGTCAAGGCATGGTTCTTGAGCCTGCTCCACATACTTCATACTTCGGGCCTCCAAAGTTACGAGGAAAAGGAATCTTTTGCCTTTATAAAAATTGGTCCCACAGGCATTTCATCACTTGGACCATAAAGATATGTTTGAAAAATAAAATCTAAAGACCTTCTACCTTGATTTAAAATAAAAGAGGCTCATTTATTACTCTTGTGTGTCTGGGGTGTGTGTGTGTGTGTGTGTGTGTGAGAGAGAGAGAGAGAGAGAGAGAGAGAGAGAGAGATTTTAGGTACCTGTAGCAGCCAGAGCCAGAAGAAGGTGTTGTATGCCCTAGGGTTACAGGCACTTGTGAGCATCCCACCTGTGTGCTGGGAACCAGACTGAGCCGTCTGGAGGAGCTGCAAGGGCTCTAAACCACGTCATTTCTTGAGCCTCTACCTGACGTGAACAGTAGCAGCACAGACCCACACTGACCTGTACTACGGGCACATCATCAAAGGCTTTAATAAAATCCTCTTCATCCACGGCACCAGCGCCTTCTTTTGCAGCTGTTACAAAACAAAACAAAAAAGGACCAAGTTTTTATAAAAACGGTAATATGAACAACACTATATAAAGCATATGCTACAGACTTGTTCATATGCATAACTGAAATTACATTTTGGAACATTTAAAACTCATTAAAAAAAAACAAAAACGACTGATTGTATTTATGGGTATGAGCTTGTGTGTGTGGCTGTGCGTGCTCTGTGTGGTTGCACACAGTCCCAGAGGGCACTGCGGCCTCTGAGCTGCTCATGAGCAGTTGTGGGCTGCTTGGTGTGAGCACCAGAAGCCAACTCTGGTCCTCTCCAAAAGAGGCAAGAGCAGCCAACACTCTTGCTGCTGAGCCAGCTCTCCAGTCCCTCAAAATTTTATTCAAGTTTCTCCCACAAAGCTGTGTGAAGATGCCCTGTGCAGCCCTTTTCCTTCCTTGGCCGGCTGAAGTCCAGATGGGTTTCCAGCAGCTCTACTGGAGTCACCCGCGGGAGTTCGGCCAGGGCTCTCGCTCTTGCCGCATCTGCTCTAACCGCCACGGTCTGATCCAGAAGCATGGGCTGAACATGTGCTGTCAGTGTTTCCGTCAGCACGCGAAGGACGTAGGGTTCATTAAGGTGGACTAGCAACCTTGAGTGGATCATTCAAGACTGTCTACCCAGTGAAACGCATCATGCTAGTCTTTGTACATAAAGAATGAAAAAAGACCTTCAAAAAAAAAAAAAAAAAAAAAAAGATGCCCTGTACACTTGAAACAGAGGCAAGAGCCGAGGGCAAAACTGGCCCCGGGAACTTCCGGAAGGGCTGGTGGGCAGAGCAGGAACTGTATCTGACCATGCCGAGGCTGTCTAGCCACTCTGTGCTGCCACAGGACAAAATGGCGTCTGCTTCCTAACGTCAACCTCATCTTGTTCTGCTCCTTGAGTTTTTACACCCGTGTCTGTGCTCATCCTCAAAACCCCAGCAGTGACTTATATGGATTAGCATGTCTGCTCTTTTCAGACACGTGACTTGCTGTTAGGGCCCTGCTGGGCCTGCTAGAGAAAATGAGACAAACACTGGACAGCCCGGGTAGCAGTAAATGTGTTCCCACGACCGTCGGTCACAGGCTGTGATGCACACCCCAGAGCTGCTTTCGCATATGGTTAGAGCGCTGTGATCAGAAAGCAATGGCCTCTGAGCCCACAGGATCTGCGAAGCAGGAACTCTAAAGCTCTCAGGACTGCGGTGTAAAACAAAGAAAGGATGAGGGTATGGCTAGGGGGGGGGGGGGCAAAGCCCACCCAGTGGAGACTTCTGGAGGGGCTGTGGTTGACAGACGGGCAGGAAAGCAGCAACCGGATCATGTAGAAATTGTCTTACTCTTGTTTATGGAAGTAGCATCACTCAAGGGAAGCTCAAGAAATGCACTAAAGTCAAAGAAATGGGACAAGTGGATGGCTCCCAGGTAAAGGAGCTTGTCACCAGGCCTGACGATCTGAATTCGCTTCCTGAGACCCACATCACAGAAGCAAAGAGCTGACACCCCAAAGTTGTCCTCTGACCTCTACAAGCATGCCCAAGTATACATGTATGCACGTGTCTTCCCCCCACACACACACAGACACACACACGAGGTCTCAATACATGCTACAAGGTGAATAAAACACTGAAAAGATTCCCTTTGACAATAGCTGAAGAGCGGCTCAGAGGTTAAGCGCACTTACTGCTCTTGCAGAGAGCCTAGGCTGGATTACAATCATCTCTAACTCCAGTTCCAGGGGACCTTATGCTGCAGGAACCAGCTATGCACACAGTGACACACATACACGTCAGCAAACATTCATGCACTAACATAAAAGTAAATAGATCTTTGAAAAATAGTGAATTGTATGTTAAATAAACATAAACTCAACAACAAAAACTTAACAGCACTCAAGATGAGGAGGAGGAATGACAAACACAGGACATAAAGTAACATTGGTCTTCCTGTGGCCAACACAGCTCCCAGGGCAGGATGACTGCTGGGCTGGAGGGCACAGTGGCACTTTGTGAATCCAGTCAAGATACTGCCATGCCAGGGGGCATCACTGTTAAGACCTTCCTTCTCCAGAAGAAGACACCAGAGGGCATCACTGCTAAGACCTTCCTTCATCCAGAAGAGAACACCAGAGGGCATCACTCCTAAAACCTTCCTTATCCAGAAGAGGACACCAGGGGGCAGTATCCCAGGGCCTCCCCCTGAGGAGTTCACTGAGCTTTCATAGCTGTGGGATTCTACTCAGCTCTCTACCCTCAACCCCAAGACACAGCCATCAGTGACCATGGTTTTAAAGCAAGTGACTACACAATCTTTTAGAGATAAAGAGGAAGGAAAAGTACAAATCTAAGATGTGACAGCAAAAAGAGATACAGGTAACTAGAAGTCAAACTGTCTAAGGCAAGGAGTTACTGGGGAGGAGGGTTCCCAGGACTGAACCCTGTCGGCACCGGTTTGTGCATCAAGTGCCTTTACCTGCTGAGCCATCACCGGCCTCCTACTGTTTATTTACTCCGTTCTCACACTGATCATCACAAGGGAAAAAATGCTACCTGTATGATCAAAGCAATTTTTTTCACAATGTGAAAATTTCCAATGTGGCATCTGATCTACACAAACAGATTTGGTTAAATGCCCCGATGCTGGCCAAGGCAAGACTGGTTCCAGATGACTAAATGGGGCTTGTGCTGTGTTACTCATCTTCATCTGAGGCTGTGCTTTCCTCTGTACCGTCTGCATGTTAACTGGCTGGACTCCCTAAAATGTGGTAATTAAACTACCATCGCCAGCTCATGGGCATCAACAGAGAGGTACCAGGCCACACCGACTGTAAGCAAGAATGTGCACACAGGAACTGGTTCATGCCTAGGGGACTCAGTAGGCAAGGACTATGACAGAGGACCCCAGCACATCACACAGGACAGTCACACAGGATGTGGTCTTACCTGAAGACTTAGATCCAAGACTAGAAGACACGAGTCGACGGGTAGTCCCCATGCTAACATTCCTCCGGGAACTAGATGGAGCCTTGGATGAGGAGGAGCTGGCAGAAGAAGGTCTGTTTCCATCCACAGAGTCCTCATCATCAAAATTTTTATCTGAAAAGAAAGCAAAGGAGTCATTGTTTAAAAACTTATGTTTTCACTGGTGGTGGCGCACACCATTAATCCCAGCACTTGGGAGGCAGAGGCAGGTGCATCTACCTTCAGAGCTAGAATGCTCTCCCACTCCAACATAGAAACATCTGACTCTACAGCTTTCCAGTTTGTAGGTTTTACTGTGTGTGTGTGTGTGTGTGTGTGTGTGTGTGTGTACTGTCATGCATGCACATGCATGAATCTCCTGTGTCTGTCCTCACATAGCACCTTGTTTGACAGGGATGCTCTTCCGGGGCATTCCTGTCTCTGGCTCCCATCTCCACACAGGAGTGCTGGATTACAGAGGCTTATGCTATTTTGCCAGATTTTACATGGGTGCTGGAAATTTGAACTCAAGTCCTCATAGTTGCACCCAAGTGCTTTATTCACTGAGAAATCTCCTAGCCCCATTTCTCAGTCCTCCAGGGCCTTGCTCTGTAGCCCAGGCTGGCCTCAAACTCATGATCCTGAGAGTTGGCATTACTGGTGGTGCCATCATGCCTGGAGTACATACATTTGCTTTTTTTTTTTTTTTTTAATAATAGCTAAACAACACATCTCCTTGAAATACTAATTTATTTCAATTTTCCTTTATGATAGAGTATTTTTCATAAAGCTGTTTTTAGTGGTAGTAAAATACTTTGTGAGTGAAAGTGTCTCACTGAGACACCTCCTGACCGTCAGTTTAGCTGCATAATACCTGACCATTAGAAACAGGGTTGTAGACTGGCCAGATGGCTTGGTGGGTAGAGCCACTTACCACCAATCCTGATGACCTGAGTTGGATCCCCAGAATCCATAAGAGATAGAACTAACCCACACACATTGTCCTCTGACCTCCACAGAAGTACCAGGGCACCCAGACTTGTGAGCATGTGTGCACACATACATACAAAATACGTAAGTCAACAATAAAATGCAAAACAATTCAAAGAGCTATGACTGTAACAAACACTTTTCAACAACTAGCTTTTTGTTGGAATTTTAAGCATTTTTAAGAAACTCCAACAAGCAACATTACTGGGTCAAACAGCATGAAAATGCTTACTAATAATACTGTGTTTATCTTCTAAAAGCCATATAAATGTCCATTTGCCTGGAAACTCAAGGAAGCATCTATCTGGCTCCATATCTCTGCCAGCACTAAATTATCATTTACAAGCATGTCAATTAGACAGGCAAAAAGCATGTCTTCTAGGCGGCATTTCCTTTAATGAAGCTGAATATTTTTTTTCATTACACTGGTCATGTTTAGACCTTGAAACCAGCAAGGCTTATTATCTCCTCTGTTGCATTCAAAATTAAAAAGAAGAAAAGAAAACATATCATTGGGTCTCAAAATTCAACCTATTTATAACCATTATAAGTTCATTTTATTACTACTACTACTACTACTACTATTTTTATTATTATTACTGTATTGTGTGGTCATGCATGTGTCATGGTGCCTATGTAGTCAGAGGACAACATTTGGGAAACAGTTTTCTGTTCACTGTGGGTTGGGGGATAAACTCAAGGTGTCAGGCTTATAGCAAGCACTTTTACACTGAACCACCTCGCCAGCCCTACTTATAAACATTTTAATGATACAAAATTAAAGTTAGGTATCCAATTCCAAGGATTTATGTGGCAAATGTGAACCATTGAGGATGCTAAAATCAACTTGGCATGAATAAAAATAAAAAGGAAGGCTAACACCAGTCGGGTAACAATGACTGCCTGATGGGAGGTGTGTGTGTGTATGTGTGTGTGTGTGTATGTATATGTGTGTGTGTGTGTGTGTGTGTGTATATATATATATATATATTATTGGTTAATGCATAATACACTATTCTGCCAGTGAGGCAGGGAAGATAGGTGGGTCTAGGAGACAAGGAGAATTCTGGGAAAGGTAGGCAGAGTGAGCCAGCCACACAAAGTCTGGATGCTGCCGAAGGAGTAACAACATGCCAGGCATTACCAGGTAAGCCACAGACTCATGGCAATACACAGATTGATAGAAATGTTAATAATTAAAACAGTGCTAGCCAGTAAGAAGCCCTAGTCATCGGCCAACAGTTTAATAAATAATATAGCATCCAGTGTTCTTTTGGGACTGAAGGGCAGGGGGACTAGCCAGGACAAGGAAAACTGCCAGCAACAATTGCCAAAAGGACACAAAATATACTTGGACCAAATATCTAAAGGCAATATCAAACAATAAATTACAGGAGCTGGAGAGATGGCTCGGTGTTTAAGGCTTGCAGCACCACATCTGGTGGCTCACATGAACCTCGAACACCAGCTCCAGGACATCCGATGTTAGGGGGCTGGAGAACTTAAATACACACAGCAGAATTCAGCCACCATTAAAGAAACAAAATATGCTTTTTAGAAAGAGGGAAGGTGAAATGATTTTTAGAAAGAAGGGGGAGGGAGGGAGGGAGGGAGGGAGGGAGGGAGGGAGGGAGGGAGGGAGGGAACAGAGTTGGAGAACACCATGAGACAGCAACAGCAGTCTAACATTCGAAACTGCACTCCCAGCAGGATGCAATGAGGACTAGAAAACTATCGAAATGATAGTCAGAGCTTCATTTAATGAGGAAAATAGGCCCACCGATTCAGGAAGCTGAAAAACAAACAAACAAGGCACCAACAGAGAAAAAAAAGCAGGTTTGCTCATTGTTGCTGTGATAAAACCACTCTGGGGCCAAAGCAACAGAGGGAGGAAACTGTTTATCTCAGCCCACACTTCCAGGCCACAGACCATCACTGAGGGAAGCCAGGCACGAACTCAAGGCTGCCCTCTGACACAGAAACCACAGAAGAATGCTGCTTACGGGTTCACTCTCTGGCTCTTAGGGCCAGTGCTGCCTGCAGTGGGCTGGGCTCTTCTATAACAACTAAAAACCAAGACTGCCCACTCCCCTCATCCCGACATGCCCTCCGTCGAGGCTCTCTGCTCAGATGACTCTAGCTGTGCCAAGGTGGCAGTTAAGGCCAACCAACACTCACACCGAGGCCCACCATTGTGCAACTGTTTCCAGTCAGGGAAATTGTCCCCGGAAGGAAAGTGCATCCCAGGCATTGTGAGGACAAACCCAAGATGAGGAAGGGACAGAAGGGATCCCAGGCAGAGAAAACGGGGCTGCGCCTTGAAAGTGATTTACCAACTTAGTGTTTCAAAACCAGTAAAGTCAGCTTAAGAATGAAGGCAGGGCCAGCAAGGTGGCCATGTGGCAACGGCCCTTGCCTGTCAGCAGGAGCGAGCTCCCTGAGCACACATGGTGGAAGGAGACAGCCTCCCCCAGGTGGTCTTCTGACGGATGTACGCGTGCCATGGGCTATGCACACATGTATAAATGTATAAATAAAATGAATAATTACGTTTAAATTAGGACCAAGAAGAAAGGCAAAATAAAAATATGTTAAGACAAAACCAGAATGTCCCCAGCAGCTCTCACTCTAGAAAATGTTACGGGAGACTTTCGGAAAGGAAAGTGGACAGCGGGAATGCTGGATTTACAGAAAGAAATGAAGACGGTAGCACATGAAAATGCAAGACTTTCTCCTCAAGACCGATTCATTATTCTCTCCGTGTTTCCATATCCACAGAGATAAAGAACTATTAAAAGAAAAAGAAAATAAAAAATAGCAACTATCCACTTGGGGTCATATAGCAGATATCCTGTGTATCAGCTATGATTCATAACAGTAGCAAAAGTACAGTTATGAATAACAATGAAAATACTTTTGTGGTTGGGGGTCACTCACCACTGTTAGGATTCAAACCCGGAACAACACAATGACGCCTATTTAACATATTAAAGCAGATCTGGCTGCCAGGTTCTGTCAGCATCCCTCAGTCCCTACCATCGGGGGGTGCCCGCCTCCTTCTCCGGGCCCGGCTGCCCTCCCCCGCTGCCCCCTCCCCCCCCCCCCCCCCCCCCCCCCCCCCCCCCCCTTTTCTCCTTTTTTTTTTTTTTTTTGGGGGGGGGGTGGTCCCTGAGTTACAGGGTATGGTCTAAGCCATTCTGGACAGCGCTCTCTGTATGCCCTGTATTCAGTTCCATAACCCTTCTCCAGCCCTTGATCATTTTTTTTTTTTTTTTTTTTTTTTTTTTTTTTTTTTTTTTTTTTTTTTTTTCTCCTGTGGGCAAGTTTTTGGCTCGATATATTGTTGCTGTCTGGTTGCCCCCCCCCCACAAAAATAAAGTCTGGGGAACACAACACACTTGAGAAGAAAACAGAAGCCGCTGTATTTCTGTCCTCAAGAGTATTTTTTTTAGCTCCTTCCTGGGAAGGCATCTGTGGCAGCCTTGGCAGCCTTCCCGCCCTCCCGGGAAGGGAAAAAGGAAGTAGCTTAAGTGTGTAGGGTTTTAGCTGGCGACAAGCCTAACAGCTCACTTACCTGATCCCCTCAGCAGAGCAGAGGGCAATTACAGATCGACAAGGGCGGCTGGGCTAAGTAAAGGGACACTAGCGTGAGGTAACAGTGACCGGCTGACGGGGACACACTGCACAGCAGACACCACACACTGCGGGGGTCAAAGGACACCTAGAGACTTGAAATGCACTGCAGAGGGCACCCAGGCAGGACAGTTTTTTCCTGATCCACAGAGGGATTAGCCCGCTATCTGGTCTTTCTGCCTCAGCTGGAAATGCATCAAAACAGGAAAACTAGGAATGCACTTTCCAGATCATAGCTCGACATGATGTTTTAAATCAGAATTGTATCTGAGAACATGTTTGGGGATAAACTAACAGTGGTTTAAAAAACAAGTTCAGACTACGTTTCTCGGCTTTTTTGAGCCTTAAAAATGAAATAAAAGGAGGCTGGAGCTGGGGAGAAGGAAGGCTCAATCAGTAAACTGCTTAGAAAATGAGGCCCATCCCCAGAACCCACTAAATGAAAGAAGCCATGTGATTTAATCCCAGTTCTAGGGAGGCAGAGATAGCCAGCCTAACCTAATCAGCCAGCC